ATGGTGGAAAGGGCTATGGGAGGGCAGAAGAGAGGATTTGGGGCGCTGGCCGTTCACCCGAAGGCGAAGAAAAGGAGAACCACTTGGGCGGTAGCAGCAACACGGAACAGCAATCGTCCGTTGGAGTAAAGGGAGGCCCGGCTACTTCTACAGAAGAGATGATGAAGCTTGATGGAGTGGGGCAGAGTCCGGACTCGTGGATCAAGCAGCTTAACGACGTTGCCGCCACTGCTTAGAACGTTAGTGGACAGTATCGACACGAGCAACCGAGCCACGGGTTGTCCTCCTACCCCGTGACGACTACCGCTTCTTCGTATCCGACCAGGCAGCCAATCCACCGTCACGAGTTCCACCCTCGCATCGATCCAGATGTGGCCTTGCCTACAATCGAGCATGATGACAACTCACGTATCAAACAAGATCGAGCCTATCCAATACGCCCGCCCCGAGTCAAGCGGGACGCTGGCGACGATTTCGAGGGCGAGAATTGGCTGGATGCCGACGACGATGTTCTTCGCGCTCGACTCCGCAAGCGAGGTTTGAAAATGGACGATATCCCACTGTTTTGAAAGATTGACTGGACATGGTTATGATGGGGTGTTCTCCCACCCCGACTTGTACACGGCCGGAATTTGCTTTCTGCATCGATGCATGTGAGGTGCTCGCATGGTTTTCCAAAAGGGAGGGTTTGAATGAGAAGAAACAACGATTACGATTTGACAATGAGCATATATCACAGACGAGATAGACCACTTGGGTTTCTGTTTCCAACTGCACGTCGGGCTTGGCTGGGCAGCTGAGTCGGGAGAGTGTACTCATGTACCTTTTGTAAAGAGACCTGAGCAAAAAGCTGAACGGGCATCATTACGACGACAACGAGGACGAGGGCGAAGGTGACAGGCTCCGGCCTCTGGCTGTTGGACGTCACAAGAAAAGCATGACACTTTGGGTCGCCCCAGAGGCTTAGACTCCAGGGTGGTATGGATATATCATATGTATGTACCTTGTACATGTAGTACGCTACGCATTCCGAGTCGTCACACAAAGCACGCCTCTTTGAACACTTTGAAGAATGACCAACTTTCTCTCCACGATGAATGAAATCAAACTATAAAAGCAAGGCCCGAGTACCGAGTAGTATATATCCATTGAGTCAGTTGTGTAACTCTTTGTGATGTCCCATCGTTTGAATGAGGAGGGGGGTTTGAAGAGGTAGACCGGTGAGTAGGTGAGTAGGTGTGTGTATTTGTATATTTGTACATCTATCTATCCATGTATCTGTCTTCTCTGACATGAGGACCACGCAGGACTACGCGACATTGCGTCTCTGCCTCGACGCCGTCTCCGTCTTCTGCTCGCCACCAGCAGCAGCGCCACCACCACCACCACCACCACCAAACAAGTCGCGCCAGAACTGCTTGAAGCCGTAACTCTTGTCGTCGCTCTCATCGCGGATCGAACCCTCATGCCCGGTCCACTCGTCGGCGCCGAGCCGATCGAGCACGCCGCCGGTGGTGGTCCCCCTACTCCGTGCGACGACGCGCGTCACTTTCGAGGGAGGCCGCGTGCTGCGCTCCCGGATCGCGTCGGCCAGCTGCGGCGCCACGTCGGCGAAGCACCGCCGCAGCTCCCGCTCCAGCGTGTAGTACGGCTTCTGGGCGATCTTGGGCGCCATCAGGTTGTACGAGCGCGTCAGGGCGTTGAGGTTCGCCACCGCGAGTGTGTGGTAGGCGAGTTCGGCTTGTTCCCATGTCGGGTCGCGGAAGGGGTGGGGCATGGGGAGGACTTGGTCGGGCGAGGAGGGTGACGGTGACATAGAGGAGGAGGGGGAGGGGGAAGAGGGCGGTAATGGTGATGGTGATGGTGATGGTGTGGACGCCTGCGTTTCGGATACAGTAGAGATCGTGTCTGTATCAACTGCTGCTTCTGCTGCTGCTGCTGCTGCTGATGGCGGCGAATCAATGGATGAACCGGCAATGGGAGCATCCTCGGCGGGCTGCTCGGTGACTCTGATCTCGACCTGCTCTCCTTCTGCAGCCTCGAAAGGCACTCCCGCGGCGAGCCGCTCTTCGACACTGACGGTCGTCAAGCTCCCGTCGCTGGCGATACTACTAATATTCTCGACCCTCCTGGCCGGGCGAGGGTTCACCCTCTCCTCCGCCAGCGCATACCCCTTGGCGCGGCGCACCTGGTCGTCGACCGTGCCGCCGCGGCTGGAGATGGAGCGGGCGGCGTGCCTGCGCCAGTCGCTGCGCAGGCGACTCCGGAAGGTGGCCACGGCCTTGACCAGCTCCTGCTGCTTCTCGATCCAGGGCGGCACAATCTCCTGCTTCTGGATGATCTTGTTCATAAAGTACTCGGTCGTGTCGAGGAAGGGCGAGTTGGCGTTGTAGTCGCGCTCCACGTTGATGCCCTTGCCGCGGCTGATGTTCTTGAACTGGCCCCGCGCGATGGCGTCCTCGATCCGCTCGTTCGCCAGGCTCGTCAGCCCTGTGATGCTCGTCGGCATGGGCCGCGCCCCAGGAGAGAACCGGTCCTTCAGCTCCTTGCGCCACTTCTCGCGCTCTTGCTCCGTCATGTCGCTTTGCTGGCTGATGGCGTAGATGGATGTCTTGTCCCGCGCGCTGGCCAGTCGGTCGGCCGCCGAGATGTTCTTCTTGGGCGTCGGCCGCAGGTTGACTTTGGGAGCGAGAGAGGTTGTCCGCGGCGGAGACCGCAGTTTCTTGTGGCTGTCGTCGAGCATGCGGAGAACCGAGTCGTGGACATTCTCTGTGCCCTGCCAGGGTTCTGCGCCTGCGATATCGCGCGTGCCTTTTCCTGCGGCATTCTGTCATGTACATATTGATGTTAGTCGCTGATGATCTTCTTCTTTTCCTGCTGCTTCTGCTCCTCCCGTCTTATTGCCATCCGCCACATCATACGAGAACCAAAGGAGAAAAGGAGGTAGGAGGGGAGTCTGTTCGTACAGGCATGTTGATTTGGCTCGCGGCCTGTTGATTCTGCGCCGCACCGCTCGTCTGTGCAATCCGCTCTTCCAGCTGCTTCTTCAACTCTTCTGAGAACCCTGCCTCATGCATCAACTTGCGATCACTCTTGCTGCCCGTGTCCATCGTCTCCTCCGCCATCTCGGCCAGTCGGCGGGACATGGCTCCTTGATGTTCTTCGCCATCCTGGCCGTCCGGGCTTATCGTAGAGTGCGGGCTCTCGGGCTTGGGGCCTGCAGACCCTTCGTCGAGCCGGGATACCGTGGTGCTGAAAGCGTGGCGACGTGGTTCGCGGCGAGGAATTGAGCTGTTGCTGCTGGTGGTGCCATCGATAGGGCGACCCCGCAGCCTCTGGGCCCGGAGACAACGCGCACAGGTCCAGATCTGGGAGCTGGACCTGCTCATCTTGGCTGATGGGAAGAGCTCAGGAGGACAAGACGAAATCCACAGAATCAGCAAAGAAAGCGAAGGCAAAAAGGGACGAAAGAAATGGTCATTTGGGGACTTGATGTTCCTCGAGGCTCGTCAACGACAAATCTGCTTTCTCCGCACATTCCGTCCAATCATGAGAGTCAGTACAGCAGCTATCGATACAACTTCTTTACAAAATGGACGAACAGAAACGGGCTTCTTATCAATATTTATGTATTGTACTGGCTAGCATGACATAGCTGCAAGAGGGCGTTGATATTGACGAGATACTTCCCGTCTCCAGGTGTCCCGCCCTTTCAGCAGTACCTGCGTGTCTGTACTGCTAGACACCCCTTGCTGTGGACTTCGTTGCCGTCTGCCGTCTGCAGGGAATCAGGAATCGACTGATGATTGACGGTGGGCAATATCGGGTCATTCCTGTTTTGTCGTGTTCCACCTCTCTGCTGTTTCTGTCGTCGTCATCATGCCGCTGTGCCTTTGGTGGTGGAAACATCCGACCTCCTGCTCCCTGATTCTGCTCCACCGCCATTCATATCGTTGTCGTCGGCGGAGGTAGTGGATGCCAAATGCGCAAAGACATTGCATAAACCGACGAGGAATGACAGCCCTGTGATGATCACCCCGGAAGCCCAAAACAGCAGCGTTAGTGAGATCAAGTAAAGACCTTCTGGTTGCTGTGTACGTAGAGTGCTGATCTCAAACTCGACGCATCTACCTTGTTCGCTAAACACCACTGATCCCTTAGCTGAGATTCCAATTATCAGAGCGAATTGATGCTTATGAGGGTCAGGAAAGGAAGCAAAGGTATTCCGATCGCCTTCGGGACCAATATCAGGCTGAGATGTTGCATCGAGCCGGAGACATGGTCCATGATGCGCTCTTATGAGTGTTCAGACGAACAGGCACGACGAGGCCACGCGGATCCGAGTCCTGGATCCGATTGGTGAGGGTGATCTGATGGAATAACATCAAGGTGCGTCTGGCTGAGAAGCTCCATGTTCCCAGGTCAAGAAATGATGGTCGTCACAAGCGTTGAGGACGAAAGCCACGAGGGGAGAACTGCTTATAGTGTGGAGAACTGTTTCTGAAGCAAACTCTGACGGTCTGTCGGTGCTAGATGTCTCCAGTCCTGCCGTCTTCTCTGCAATGTCGGAATGGTTGAAGAAATGGGTAGGCGATCGGTAGTATTGGAAGATGAAGCAAGTAGCGCCTAGATGCCTACGAGGAAATGCTGCGTTTTGTACTCGCATACATGTCCCATAAGGCTTTTGCGCAAAGGAGTGGAATCGCAACAGGACGAACATTCTGTGGGTAACGTATGATCGTCTGATACAGGCAAGACTCCTCCAAACGTCCCAATAGCAAAGGTTGGATAGTCTGTAACTTCGCCTAGTGCCGCACCTTGACACCTTGGGCCATGCTCCAGTTGAAGTGACGCCTGAAAAGTCAGCCTCGGGAAGCTTGTCCAGGAAATCTGAATGGACACCCCATCATTTGCTGTCCATTTTGATTGCACCTTTGACTGGTAGTGACAGATCTGTTCTGTCAAGGGCAACGAATTCATCGTCGACTGCTGGCTACCGTTCACCAAGACTGACTCGTTCTTCTACGTTGCAGAATCTGCCCGGCCGGTATGTCCAATGCATCCAGAAGGTCCGGATTATCCTTGAATTCTGGGCTGTTGATGACATCTTGCGCCTTTGACATGTTTCTCTCAATGATGATTCCGGGTACTTCGCCGTCAAACACTGCAAACTCAGGGAGACCGTTCAGATCCTTTCCCGGGCTGCCCAAGACTTTGGCCAGGTACCTCATAAGCGATGTGAGTGCTCGCCGCTTAGCTTCCTCGTCCGAGTCTTTCGTGGTTTCTAATGTAGTAGATATAATTGCGGGCATGTAGTATGGCAGAACGGCCGTCTCATTAACATTGCCGTCGACATTGAGACCCGCAACGAGTTGTTTCCTGTTTCCCTCATCTAGGGCGTTGAATGCTTTGGAAAACAGCTCGGCTTGCTCTTTGTCTGTAGTCCGGCCCATGGTCAACAGGCGGAGTAGTGCCCGATCTTCTTGATCGCTAACACTAAGTCTGCGAAATCCCTTGATGTACAGCAAGTTTCCACGTTTGGTGAGGACTTTGTCATACCCTTGTCGAGGGTTGGATCTGCCCGCAATAATATCGAGAGACACCTCATGTACAGTCTTGAAGGCTTGAAAGACGGGCTCGATGAAGCTCTTGGAGCCACTAGAGTCAAGATGGCCCAGAGCGCCGGCGACGTCGAGGATTTGCTCCATGAACTTGAGCTCAAATGCGTGTTCATGGCCCCGCATGGCCATCAGTCCTTCTAGGTTGACAGGCACACTTTCGGCTTGGGCCAGTTGGCCTGCATTCAGCTCCGATCCGAGTTCGAGACCTAGCATTACTTCCTGTCTTTTCTCCGGCGTGAGATAGTGCAAAGCCGGAACCATCCCAACCTTGGCTGCCGCCAATAGTACGGTATCATGGTTGTGGTCCTCTAAGCGATGGCGGGTCTTGAAATAGTAATCTTCTTCCAGGTTGGGATCTTTTCCCAAATCATTGATTATCATCGAAACCACCAGGGCAAAAAGATCATCCGAATCCTCGATACCTCTCTCAAAGAGGTCGTACAGCCAGTGGAATGATTCCTCTGTCAAACGCGACTCGGGGATCTGGGGTTGCGTAAAGCGTTCATAGTCACGGTTGTGGACCCATCGAAGGGCAAGAAGACCGACGAGCGTTCGGTTGACCTCGTCATAGTTGATGCCGTAGAGAATTTGCGAAGGGCTCAACGCATCGGCTTTTCCATTTGCCGTGGCACGTTGCTCCTCGGTGCCCTCGACAGCTCTAACACATTTCAGTCGTTCAAGTTCTGGGGAGAAAGCGTCTCTAATTTGGTGGAGGAATGTGGTTTCGTCCAAGCAGTAAAAATTCCCGGCTCGAATGGTCTCTTGTAGAGAGCACGTCGGCTGGGTTTCGGCCGTCATTTGCATTGTCGCACAAGTCTCGAAAGATGAAGATCCTCTCTATCGCCTCCAGATCTTGCGATTAATGTCATGATCGGGTGCGACTTGGTCTGCTGACAGGGCCACGCGATGATGACTCCTTCGTAAAGTCAGATCGAGGAAATAGTCACCGCCTTCTGGTGAATAGCGCATAAGAAGGGACGATTGCCATTAGGATGTGGCTGTGCAGACGCAATTTCCTCCCCTTTTTGATCCCAATCTGGGGAAGCGGCGCAGGCCTCGTGAAAACTGTTGTCTAGAGTACTGAGAAGAAGTCGAAGTGAAATAGGAGTCGGGAGAGGAGCAGATCAGGCATTATCTGTTACCAAGAGACTTCTCAGAACACTGAGGCTGAATATCCGCCTGGCAGAAGCAAGGCGTACTTGATCAACCACTGGGCGAAGCAACTTTGACTAGGAGAAGGCAATTGGCGAAGCCTGCGGCGGGAGAAGTCTGAGGTTGCAATGCGACTGGCCAAAACAGCCAGCAATGCCCCACTACGCTGATTGGCCAGATTGACAACGCTGCTTTTAGAGTCTTGGTATAGGCCGACTGCGGATAAGACGAGCTGCGACCACAACTGCGACAGAAGATTGTTGCTGCACTATCCTCGATGACCACCGAACCAAAGTTCCAGGTCTTGTGAGTCTTTCCACTAGACCAATGTCCTTCTTACCCACAACCGGCGTTTGACCCCAGACCTTTAGCCTGTCAAGGAACACACGGCGTCACAGAGGAAGGGGCTTGGAGAGGCGGAGCTCCAGCTAGTGCCTTTGTTGAATAAGGAATCATGGGAAAAGGCCACACATCTCAGGCCAGAATGCATATTGTGTGAGAGTCAGGAGGTCAGCCTTGCGACACCATAGGACAATGGGATTTTTGGACGTCAAGGTTGGAGCATACAGGCTGCTACACCCTCGTAGTTCTCCAAAGATCCAGTGCTGCAAACGGAGGAGATGGATACAAGTCCACTCCTGTGCTTACTAGATACCCTTTTTGGTGCGGACGATTCCGATTTCCACGACGGCATAGAATCACGTCCGGCACGATATCCAGCTTTGTCTTATAACTTTTGTACTTGGCCGGTTACGAGGCAGGTCAAAGGAGCAGGTAAGTATTGGTTCAGAGACACAGAAGGGTTCAATAAATGCTCTCAGCATAGCAAATACCAGACAGAAGGACTACATGCCATATCGAATTGGCGTCCTCCTTTCAGGCAATGGCGTACACCATGCCAGACTGATGTGAATGGGTTTTGTGACGCTGCAAAGGCAAGTGATTGTTGTTTGGAACGTTATCCGCCTATCAGGGCTTTCCGTGCTCTGTCACTTCGACTACGTGTTGTTAATGAGGATTGTGCGGCCCTCGCGCCTTGTCTTTTCTTGTCTCTGTTACTCATTTGGAACTTCACTTCTGTTTCGCACCTGCGCGACACTTTTCTTCCGGCTTTACTCCCGATCAACAGACCAGGAGGCCGTCATGACGGGGTCTCCTCCACCAGGGGGTCCGCCTCCTCCAAATCGCTTTATGCGCAGCCTTCAGTCTTCTGCAAGAGCGATGCCAAGTAGCAAAAGACCAAAGACCGTAAACAACGATATTCCCGGCAACCCTCCTTACAACCAGGCTTCACCAATTCCATCTTCGAAGAAATCCCGAGAAAGTGCGCTCGACGCCAACTCTTCGCCCTACACCTTGAGCTTGATGCCATCAGCCCCTCCACCTCGAATTCGCACCGAAGAAAACAGTCCGCCTCCAGAGCTCTCCACTCTTATTGAGGCTGCTGTTGAGCGTACCCGCGCTTCTGGTCGACCACATCGGGCATCCAACAAGAAAATGTGTCCCGGCATGGCTCATGCTGAGCAGTCGACTGTCCACGCCGACGACCGGAACTTCATGTCAGATCCGGTCGGGATCGAAGTTGCACCAAAAGGAAAGAAGGAGCAAAAGGAGGTGGCCACGGAGACGAGAGTGGGCAGTGCAGAAGAAAGAGGCAAATCAAAGAGAAAGAGGCGCAGTTCAGAAGGTGATTTTGAAGAATACATTCAAGGCGTGTTCGATCGCTGCAACAATCCACCCCAGTTCATAGGCCCTAAGAAGAATCCGGGGCGACCGCTTCCTGAAACACTTGCTGATGCGGGCGAATGGGACAAGATGCTCTGGACGTGGAAGCTCAACCGTGTGGCGCACAAGGATATCGAAAAGGAATGGGAGCGGGTGACGGGAGAAACAATTGGCCGGAGCAACATGCTGGTTCGATTTTGCCGGCTGAAGGAGCAATTTGCTGTCAGTGGAGAACTCGATGTATGTCCACCCGCTCTGCTCACGTCCATGGTCTTTCCCATGCTAACACGCTGGCTAGTTCCCCGTAAACTGGCTCGAACAATACCCCGACGACTTGAAATACCAGATCATTTCCGAACGAAAGAGGGAGGCAAAGAGAAAGGAGGACAATTTGATCAACGCCAGGGCCAAAGCAATGAAAGAGATCGACCCTCTCTTGTGGGAGACTGTCCAGAGAATCTACCAAGAAGATTACGGAGAGGTGGTGTCCTGCGGTCGATTGAAAACAAGATGGGACAGTATTGTTAAGGATGCAAAAGCAATGGTTCCCAAGAACAATGAAGCCCGTCAGAAGGCCCAGAGCGAGGAAGGAGAGAAAGAGAGCGTGGAAAAAGTCAGAAGACGCATGACAGAAGCGTCATCTTGTGGATTGTGGTAATGGATTAGAGGGTGGTCGCAAACAACAAGGGATACGATGCCAGTGAGAGGACTTGATGATGCAGGCCGGCAATAGATGAGGCTGCATTCAAGCATAGAATGATCCATAAGACTGAGACCCAGGGCATACGATAGGTATGCTCAACGGAAGCCTCCACAACATAGAGAAATACCATGAGACAGACAGAAAAAGTCATCTCACATCCGAATACGAAGTTCGCAATGAAGTCATAGGTTGGAGTAGCCATGGGGATTTCCACTTTCAGCTTCCGACTTTCCCCATATTATGGTGACATCGGCGAGGCTGTCATCGGATATGCAACTTCGTACATAATTAATTTTAAACTGCGCCCTTCCTTCTCCGCATCTTCTCTCCCGCAAGCTTCTCTATTTCCTCTCCCACTCTTGCTTGAGCTGCTTACTGGCGACATTGCAGCTCGCCGATACGATATGGCTGCCAGAATCACTTCTAGCCCGACGGCTGCACCAGCCGTGCTCGAATCGCCGGGGTCTATTCAGTTGCGCGCAGTGGACGATGAGTCTGGCCATGAAAGCATGGTCGTCCCGGCCAATGCTCAACCCGCCATGCGACCAGTTTCTCGGAAACGCCAGACGGTTATTCTCTTCTGTGCTTTCTTCGATGTATTCATCACCATCGGCCTCAACCAGGCTTACGGCGTCTTTCTCAACTATTATCTTTCCGACGGGAGCAGTCCCAAAGATCCGTTTCTGCCGCCAAGCGAAGTATCAAGCAAAGCAATGTTGGCTTTTGTGGGCACTCTGGCCGCTGGGTTGACCTGGGGCGGGAGTATCGTGGTCAACCCGCTCATGGCGAGATCCAAGGATCCTAGGTGGCTTACTGGCGCCGGGGCAGCCTTTATAGGAACCGGCTACGTGCTTGCAAGTTTCTGTGACAAGGTCAGCTCCCTCTCGCAGCAGTCACTCAGGCATGCTCACAGTCTTGATTAGGTATGGCAGCTCCTTATTACACAGGGCTTGATCTACGGTATCGGCACTTCTTTGATGTACTTCCCCATCCTCGCGGTGGCTCCAGAGTACTTTGACGCCCATCGCGGCTCCGCCATGGGTTTTATCTTGTCAGGAGCCGGTGTGGGTGGCCTCGTCTACGCACCGGCGGCTCGTGCCCTCCTAGCAAGGATGGGTGCCGCCTGGACTTTACGCATCTTTGGCGTGGTCAATTTTGCCCTGTGCATACCCATTGTGCTAGGAACGCCACCATCACGGAGTCTCTCCAAGCGACCGACATTGGTGGATGTCAGGCTGGCGAAAAGGCCCATCTTCATTCTACAGGCGACCGCAGCAATGGCTCAAGCCGCCGGGAATCTTGTTCCGTTGACATTTCTCCCCGAGTTTAGTACGAGGTTGGGATACACAGCTGCCTTGTAAGTATCCGGAAGTGTCATATTGACGACAAACGCTCATAAACTATTTGTGTCAGTGGCGCTGCGCTTCTTGCTATCAACAATGCCGTCAACACGGTCAGTCGGATAGCCATGGGCTTCCTCGCGGATGTTGCAGGCAGACAAAACACCTTGGTTCTCAGCGTTCTCGGGAGTGCCATCACCGTCGTGGCTTTCTGGCTCTCCAGTGCCTATGGTAATGATATGGCCCTGTGGATAACGTTTGTGGTGACCTATGGTCTGTTCGCTGGAGGTAATGTTTTCCCCCAGCTCACTGGCGGGAAAGTATGGGAGTTGCTAACGAGATAACATAGGGTATAACTCCTTGTTCCCCACGACGGTGATTGAAGTGTTTGGTGCTCAAGCATATGCATCAGTCAACGGTTTCATCTACTTCATCCGCGGGCTAGGCGCCTTCTGGGGCTCACCTGTAGGTGGAGCTTTGGTTGCAGATGACCAACATCCGCACGCATTCATCACACTGATTTGGTACGACTTTGGACTGTTGATGCTGTCCAGTATTTGCGTGATTGCTGTGCGGGCGCTGGATGCCTCCGAAAAAGGCCAGTTCAAGCTGAAAGCTTGAGTATGCCTATGGTCCATTCCCCTGTATTGGTACTCATAGATCTATGGAGAGAATCCCGACTCAAATACTATATAGTTCCGATATCGGTCTTACTCAGCCTCGCGCCTCGGCAAGGCTTCCCCGCACTCTGCCATTGCTTGGATTTGGCCATGAGGAGAGGCAAGGGAGGCTGCAGGATACAATTTCTCCACAAGCGCCACTCCGCAACTTGGCCTCTCTCGCCATTTGCTTCATCAAACTGTCCCTGGTAGCCTCCTGCACGTGGGTATACGCTGTCTGCAGATTTCTGAGACCAAAGGACATTGAACGTCCCCGATCCTTTTGCGCCGACTGTAGCGATGAAGAGATTCATTTCTGGCCTGCCGCGAGCTCGTCCCAGGCCCTTGTTCCGCTGCTTCAGCACGTCAAGACAATGCCTTGCCGACCACGTCAGAATAGTCGAAGTCGGACCCCGAGACGGCTTGCAGAACGAAAAAAGTACCATATCCTTGGAGACCAAGCTCGAGCTTATTCGGCGGCTGTCGCAGACCGGCGTCACGCATATGGAGGCAGGCTCTTTTGTGCCTGCGAAATGGGTTCCGCAGGTGGGTGTAGCCCCTAGTAACAGCACCTGTACGGGGACAGAATAACTGACATGGTGGTCAATAGATGGCATCAACGGCAGAAATCCTTGAGTCTATCCTGACTCAACCACCTGCTGCGCCCCAAGGCATCGCATACAACTATCTCGTGCCCAACATTCGCGGACTTGAGAACCTGCTCAAGTTATTCCAAGCCAAAGGCGGTCAAAATCCCACAGGCCATCCTACCCCGCCGCCATCCCCCGGGCCTGAACAAACACAAGGTCAACAAGCCCAGTCGGGGAATTCGACAGAGATATCATTATTCGCTGCAGCAACAGAGACATTCTCACAGAAAAACACAAACTGCAGCATTGCAGAGAGCTTGGAGCGATCCAAGCCTATACTCGAGCTTGCAAAGCAGCATAACATCCGCGTGCGCGGTTACGTGTCTGTGGCACTAGGATGTCCGTATGAAGGGCCAGATGTGAACCCTCACAAAGTCGCGGAAATTACCGCTACCCTGTTGGAAATGGGCTGCGATGAAGTTTCCGTTGCTGACACGACTGGAATGGGCACAGCACCTCGGACGCGAAAACTGCTTCAGACGTTGAAGGAAGCTGGGATTCTGGACGAAGATCTCGCTCTTCATTTCCATGACACGTATGGCATGGCGCTGGTGAACACTGTCGTTGGTCTGGAACATGGTGTTAGGATATTCGACAGCTCTGTCGGAGGACTGGGTGGCTGCCCCTACAGCAAGGGCGCCACGGGCAACGTTGCGACCGAGGACTTGCTGCACCTGCTGCACAGCCTGGGCTGTGAGACTGGTGTCGATATGGTCAAGATGGCAGAAATTGGGCAATGGATCACTGCCCAGCTCGGCAGAGCCAATGATTCAAGGGCCGGGAAGGCGACACTAGCACGGCTGAAGGACTCATAGCGGACTTGGGGTTGGAAGATATAACTGCAATGTCAATACCCGTGCTCACCACGGCTGGGATAGGTCATATCCATAAGCTGGTGGTTGCAGCGTGGCACCAATGCGTGGGTGAGCTAGGTCACATTGGCACCTGCGCACCAACAATAACCTCAATTCGCTTTCACGACTTTCTCTGTTCTCCATCATTTTGTCTTCACAAATCTGACCTCCGCGAATTCGACTATGTGGCCGAAGGTCTCGAACCCTCAACAGTGGGATAGTCAGGTCGCCGTCAGCGTCGTAAGGCCCGACGTTTAGGGGTGTGTATACGTCTCCGGCGTCCAATCGTAAGCACCACTCAACCGTATTATCCCCATCGACGACAAGCGCTGATATGTGCCAAGGGTTCTTACCACCGTCTCTGGACTCAACACCACGAATTGCGACACGCAGATCTCGTCGGTCGGCCCCATAGTTATACGATGATGACTGATCAAACTGTCAGATGAGCTAGCAGGCGCCAAAAGCATAAGAGATGGGATAGATCTGCTCATGAGAAGCTCGACAAGACCGTTACAGCGTTTTAGATTGCGCCCAGCCATACTCCAAGACAAATGGGTAGAGGAAGACCACCGTCCCAGCGTACCGAGGACGAGAAGCTGGCCATCCGAAGGGAAAAAGTCAGGTTGAATGTCCAAGCACACAGAGAGCGCCAGAAGTTGAAGAAGAAGCTCGAAGCGCTTAATGCTCCGTGCCAACCTCCAAAGCTCCGATGGGTTCAGGAGACGAAATGGCAGTCCAAGAGGACAACAGACTCTGGCGATCAGAAGCAAGTATCGAAGCCAGAAGCACCACGCTGTGACAAGCATCCGGCGTTGGAGGGCAGCCTTTCAATCCCCCCGAGTCCTGAGAAGCAGTACACTCTTGGTCTTCTGGCCTTGTTTCGATCACGCCTATTGCCAGAACGTGTCACACTACGATGTTCAGGACCTTCGGAACAGCGCTTGACGACACCGTGCGCCCCTTGGGTGGTGAGAGGCTATGAATTAGCTACCATCAACGACAACCCTCTCCTGACTGGTATGCTTCGTGCGCTGGGGCTCGCTTTGCTTGCCGGGGAGCACCAGCGAGAAGACATCCAGCATGTTGCGCAACGTATTTATCAGACGACTCTCCCAGGAGTCAGTCGGCAGCTCGGACTTTTGATGGACGACTACAGGCACCGCTCCAACGACTACCCGGCATTGATGCTGTCCTGCCATGCAGCTGCTATGTTCGAATTAAGCGCCAGCGGGTCGCTGCATGCCATCTCCCGTCATGTGCGTGGCCTGGGCTGCTTGCTAGTCCATCACTTTCTGGTGTCGAAATCGATGCCGGAAGAGATGTTCGATCTGTTGGAGGAATACCGACTATTCGAAATTGTGTTTTGCCTCATCAACCGCCAACAATCAGTGCTTACCGGAACAACACTGGGCAGGGAAGCCACCTACCACAACAGCTCAGACTTTGGGAATTGCCATATCAGCTCGTTCAGTAGATTGGTTGATCTCACCGGCAATATTCCCCCGATCATGGTTTACGTCGATAACCTGAAAAGCAGGACTGGGCTAGGAGAGCGAGAACTTGATCGGCTACACGGGTTTCTAAAGACACTTTTTGACACTACGAATGAATTCCAAACTTGGTCTGAAGACTTCCTTGCCAATGATGCCCGCTCAGTCGCCGAGACAGCAGCCTACATTTCTGGGGATGGCGATCTCACATTTCCCAATCTTGAAGTAGTGGTGGCCTGGGCCTACTATCTTTCGTTCAAAATACACACTCTCGACACGTATATCTCTGTGATCGAACATGTCACTCTGATCCAACAATCCCTGACAAATATCGAGTTTGCCGTGGACAGCCCCGACACACATGACGCCCAATCCTGCAATATGAGCGAAAAGATAGGACTGCTACGCTCGGAACTGGTCGATTCGACGAAGCTTCTTCTTCGGTCATTGCCATACTTCTCAGAAAGCAGCTTAGGGTATATTGGACGCTCGCTAGTCGCATTTCCCTTGGAAACGGCCAAACGTGCTCTCACCCAAGAGTTTGAACGACGATCTGGCCTGACGTTGCCAGCAAGTGATATTGTTCTCTTGAACCTCTCTGACAACTGGGCCGAAGACATCATCGATGGCCTAGCAGTCTGCAAGCAGATTGCTACCAACGCGATTGCATCGGGATGCGCATTGTTCTCTGGGTAGCTGCATCGAACCAGTGGACGACAGCGTCACCACACAAAGGTCTAAGACCATCCTCTGAAAATCAGACGAGCGATGTCGCTTGGGCTGCTGCTGTCACCACCTCTTGCCAATCTTCGTGATGGAGGACGAGGCGAACCCAAGTGATGTGGTGACTCCAGCCCAAATTCGCCGCCTTGAGTGAAAGGTCAGTGACGATAAAGATCTTGCTTGAGGCCCGGGCTGGAAATGGATCTCACGGCCTCACAAGAGAGATATTATCACGATCCAACTTCCACAGCGATGGGGACATTGAGCCGTGACATTCGGGCTCATGGACGAGACATAAGTTTTCCATCGGGCCTTCTTCTTACCTTGATACTTTCGTGTCCCATATTCTCGACTCGATTACCTCACTGTATTCAACCATGAATCTTGAAGGACGCACCATCAACTCATCCTATAGTTACTTGGTCAACAATGGCGAAATCCCCGCTGGTACATTTCATTGCCAACATATCATCGCAGCCTATTTAGACGAGCATTTCTCCAACAGCATGGGCTTCTATAAGTCTTTCCAACAATGTCCAAGCGTCCGGGAATTCGCCCCCCATCTCGGCAACGAACACGGTCAAGGACGGGTCGAGTTGGATTTGGCAGGGGATGTGCGGCTCGTTCTGGACAACGTCGTGTATGGCCCTCGTTTTCCTCGGGTGCCGGTGGCATACGACAGACTCTTTCTCAGCCTACCCAAATTGTTAGACAGCGGATGCACACTGGAGATCGATACTTATGACCACTGGATCATACGGCGCAATGGAAACTTACTGGTCTTCGGCCTCAAGACTCCGTCCCTCCCAGACCCAGAAATACGCGTTGTGGTCGGGCCATATGTTCGAGGAGCGCAGAATCTGGGAGTTCCTCAGTCTCTGCAGAATGCAATCGCGAAAGAATCTCCACGGGCCGAAGAGAGACCGCCTCCTGCAGAACTGCAAGCCGCTATCATGAGGGCAGCCACACGGGATATGGGGAAACCGGCCGCATCGGTGCTGAGCCCAGCTACAAGGGTGACTGTGCCAGTCGAGAACAAACCGATGAAGCCCTTGTCGGATGTGGTCAGCAAGGCAAGCCACAAACCCGCGAACAATTCTCCTCGACCAACGCGAGGCAGTGTGTCAGCGAAGCCAAGGGACGCTGCACGTAAGCACTGGGGGAGTCTGTCCTATCGGGCATTACCACCGGCAGGCAGGGATACGAAGTAAGCATCTTGGAGGATGTACTGGCTGGCGATGTTTCTCAAGGTCATCAATGTAACAGGGCCTGAACAGATACGATCTATATAGGTAGCATAGTGGGTGGCTGATACATTGGTCAGATCTTATTCGCACTGAATGTTCCACTCGAAGGGCTGGATCGAACTCGAGACATATTCTTTCCCTCAAATTGATTGTATCTGTTTGTACCTGGTACTTTGATAGAACTTCGTATGAGTCTCGGCGTCTGTCAAAATGTCGCGTAAAAAGCTTATCGAGTGGCGAGCCTCGTTAGTCATGATTGTCCTCATCGTCTTCAGTCCTTCGTCTTCAATCCCAACCACGACACCAACGGCACAAACCAACCTCACTCGAGGCTATTACTATTTTACTTCCTCTAACAGTAAGAAATCACTCTTTTACATACTTCGTGTGGTGGTGTTGAGACTATCCCGCTTCCTTTCCGATCACCTCTGCGGAATTGAACCCGAGTGCGCCAATCGGGTGTCTATGGCGCTGTTGGCCTGTGCCTCGAACAATGCGACCATCTGGAAGTAATGGCGGCGGCGGTGACGAGGATGTACTGCCGTATGAAAGGAATGCCGGGCTGATCATGGCCGTACGTTGACCAGGATTCCCCGCGGGTTGACAAGGACATCCAAACACTGACTGAACGCGCAAAGACCAACAATGCAACCACAGCCTTCAAAGCCAGCACCGAGCGCCTGTATTTATCCAAGCCGCATTTCCACAAGTACTTCGCAAAGAAAGTCAAACGGGCTTCCGCAGCCGTCCATCGTGGCTCCTGGCTTCGGATGCGCGCAATCAAATGGGTGATTCAGCAATTCCTCGAGAGACCCTCGGACCAGAACAAGGTCGTCATTAATTTCGGCGCTGGATAGTGAGTCGAGATTCCTGTGCCCGTGGCTCCTTTTCGTAAGATTTGAGAGGACTGCGCCAACTCGTTCAGTGACTCTTTACCCTTCCGATGGTTGTCCCAGGAGGCCGGGCTTTGTGCCGGGGCCAAATTCATCGACGTCGACTATGACCTGGTGATGGAGACCAAAAGAGACATTATCATAAGCACACCGGAGTTGAGAGACTTGCTGCATTTCTCTGGCCCATCCTGTACCGGCAGCGACCCTTGCGTGCTGGTCGACAGTGAAGAATATGCCGCAATCGGATGCGACATGCGCAATCTTCAGAGGCTGGAAAGACTGCTCAAGTCAGTGATCAATTTGGATGAGTGTTCCGTCCTTTGTATTGCCGAAGATTCCACCTCATTCATGCCTGTAAGTGCTGCCGACACACTGATATCGTGGTGCGCCAGACTATCAAAGGGTGAGTTCGTGCTCCGATTCTTCTGCGGACGACTGGCACATCGGTTTCCCTGACTGCTCATTACCATTAGATGTCACCTTCTGCCTCCTGGAGCCTTGTAGCCCGGATCAGCCAGACAATCCGTTTACCAGGAAAATGACCGATCACTATACTGGCCTGGGCACCCCCCTGAAATCCATCTTTCAATACCCAGATGACCGCTCTCAGATACAGCGCTTCAGCAACGCGAGCTTCACCCAGATCGATTACCAGTCGCTATGGGAGCTCTGGGCCGACCCGCGTTTTCTTTCTCCGTCGCAACGCATGGAGCTGGACCATGTTGAGCCTTTCGACGATTGGGAAGAATTTGCTCTCTGGGCGAGCCACTATTGCCTGGTGATTGCACAAAACGGTGGTCATCCCGTCCTTCCAGGAAAGCTCATCAAGTCTCGTGCCAACTCGGTCTCCAGCGAAGCGTCTGATATCTCGGCGAGAACATCGTCGCCTTGCAACCCCGACTCTGAACACTTTGCTTACCGCTATTATAACGATCCAGGCGAGCTCTGCCAGCGCCACCACGGATCAGCGTACCCAATACCCGATCAAGACGCTGTTGCCATCTTTGGGGGTGCTGGGTCAAAGTCATGCCTTTCGACAAGCGCCGTCTGCCGGCCACGCCATCTTAACGACGAGACTCCTATAGTTTTGCCCCCCGAAGTCGGTGCTCGATGCTGTCATGTCATAACTGCCCTGAATAATGGAGACAACATTCTGGTTGGTGGACGGCTCTCACCAACTCAACCTCTAAAAGACTGTTGGTTACAGAAAGGGAACATCTGGTATCGTATCCACGATCTGCCTGAAGGCCGGTATCGACACCGACTAGCACCTGTGACCTTGCCCGACAACGTTTTTGGCGCCATCTGTTTTGGAGGCAAGGTCAACCCGACCAAAGTGGCCACGGACGTGCTGTTGTGGGAGCCAAACAAGGGCTGGCGCGAGCTGCGCTTGTTCGGAAAGGAGCCCAAACCCAGGTTTGGACCGAATTTCATCTGTCTAGGTTTCAACCATGGCCTTCTTTTCGGAGGCATGAGGCAAGACGGGGTCATTTGCCAGGGCATCTGGCGCTGGCGACTCGTGATCCGCGATAATGCCGTGCAAGCACTGAGGTTTCGCCCGTCGCACGGATTGGATACCAGCATTGGATCATACCAACACTTTGCGAGATTTGGTGCATCTTACGGCTTTGTACAAGACTACCTACTCATCATTGGCGGTATTGGTCGATTGGGATGCATACCGAAAACGTATGAGATCTTGTCTCTGGATGGGTCGTTTTCGACATGGCACGATGAGAGCAAAGAACCGAGCTTCCGGGTGTCGGCCGTGGAGGCAATGTGCTCGCAGGACTGCCCACGACCCTTCCTTGTTGGCCATTCCACCCTTCGAACGCGGACAGGAATGTATGTTATCCTGGGTGGAGGCGCTGACTGTTTCAACTACGGCGAGTATTTCAACAAAGGGATTTGGGTTCTCTACGAGAAAGAAGCCGGACTTGCCGCTGATTGGGTCATTGTTCCCAGCAAGGCTTCCAGATATCCTCCAGCGAACTCCGACTCGAGCTTCACAGCGGTGGACAGGCGGCCCGAAGGTGTTCTCATTGCTCCGGCCGTGCTGACTGGCCCTGAAGACTTCCATGCTGCAGTGCGTGTGTCTCGACCTCTGCACATGAGCGGACTAGAACTCGGTTCGTGTAGGTTGCAGTCAGTCGGCTTCCTCAAAGCAGCACTCCTCCAGAACAGCATGAGCGAGGAAATGAGCTCTGCACTGAAACACTCGACACATGCACATATGTCACTCGTCCAGATCTTGGACGCGCTCGGCATGACATCAACTACCTTTGACATTCGCTGTCCCGGTGCGAAACTGGAAGACAACAATCATGTTTGTCCAACAAAAGCCCAGTCAGATATTGACGAGGAGTTGCAGATTCCCACGCAGCTAAGCAGCATCAGCTCTCTTCTGCACTCGGTCCGATTGGTGATATCAAAGAAGATCTCCACCAAGCTCCAGTACAATGCGACGGGAAATATCGTGTTTCAGGTCCACGGCGCCCGAAAACTGCTCCTTTTCCCGCCCGGCGACCAAAGCAAACTCGAATTCCCACCTGGAGCAAACACGAGCAATCTGGACATCTTCTGTGATAAGACGCCGTTCCAAGAACACATCTTCTATGCACCGTCAGGCACAAGTCCCCACATCGCCATACTGAAGCCGGGGGATGCCTTGTTCATTCCACCTTTCTGGTCTGTGGCTAGTGTGATATTTGTCGACAGTAGCAATGACAAAGACCGTCTGTGCAATGGCCCCTCATCGCCGAGCACCCCGAGCGAGAAGTCATCCCACCTCAGTAGCAACGGCTCCATCTCGGGAAGTGAGTGTGTGTCGGATTGCAAAGAGACGCGACGTATCCAGGATGACTGGGTCGACGTCACAGTCAATCTCTCGTTCCGCAACTTACCACCTCATCTGTTTTGTACCAGCTCTTCTCACGACTCCCACAATGATTTGGTAGCCTATGAAGAGGGACGACGACATCTTGAAAGTGTTGTGAAAAGGTTCACGTCCAATGTTTGCCATTCCACTCCACGACAGAACGGGCAAACTGCTCCCACAAAGTCTGTCGTCGGCTCCGACCTCATGCTCACAAACATCCCCAAGGACGTGGCGAAAGCTTATCTGCAAAGGCTAGGCAAAGAGCTGCTAATGATGGCCGAGGAGTTGTGAAGTTTGCTTCGTCCTGTCCGCCACTTTATAAGTGATGGTGCAAGGTGTAATCTGGGTCTGATTTTGGGGCCGCAGACGAAGGCTGAATTTCAGACATGATGATGCAGCAGCACAATGATGGCGGATCTCCCATACGATGCTCCATCCTGAATCAGCAAGAGATGGACCAGATCACTGCACGATCGAGACTATTCGTGACGACCAAAGCAAAACTAGTTCATGTGGCTGTCCACTCCTCCTCGTTGACGCTAAGCACGTACTGACGGTGGTACGAGGTTGTGCTGTTGTCATTCGCACGACTTGTTAACTACAGTAGCAAGACAAACGAGACATGGTGTGGTTCACAACTAACCAAACGCAACCACCTGAAACAGTTTCGAAGTCAGGCTTTGTTTTCCCATCCGTCTGGATTGTCATTGTCACGACTCAGCATTCTGAGGGACAATGAAGCACCAGTTCTATCTCTTCACCGCATGTCAATATATCAATCTACCCAAGGAACACTCCGGACCTTTCATCAGATTCATCCATGCGGAGCATTCGTTTCTCCTAGACAGTTCAACCCGATCCAACACCAGCCAGAACAATCTCCCAGACCAACCCATACATCTCTTCATTCAAACGAACACTTCCCAGTGTTGACTCTTGAAAGTCCCCACGATCAATCTGCGATGCCTTCAACCCAAGAAAGATGGATGGTCTGGAACGACAGCCCACACCACTACTGCCACGACCGGAATCTCTTCTTCAACCTCAACAAGGATCCCACAGCCGACCAGAACAAGGACTTTGTGGTGCTGGGAAAGGGCGACGTGGTGATCCCCATAACAGGAAGCGAGAAACTCACGGCCATCCGCCTCCAAAACGTGTTGTACTACAAGACCGACAAGCCACGGAACATCATCAACCTGAAGGCCCTGCAGCGCGATTATCCCAAGTTAGTGCTGAGTCGGACCGTCAAGATTGGCATCTACGGCACGGCGATCGAGCATGCCGATGACCCGGGCAAGACGTTGCTTGTTGTTGACGAGTACGACGAAGCTGCGAAGCGTTAAGTTGGGTGTGTTTTCCTAGGGAGGTATCTGTCGGAGAGTTTACATTCGGTGAATCTGTGTTTTGACGAATCAAGCGACAACGGCATCTACCCTGCTCTGACAAGTTCAGAAAGGGTCAACATCGTGATAAGTGACGGATAGAAAGGGCGCAGGATGCACGTACATCTTGTTGGCTGAAGGTGAGTTGGACATAATGACACAAGTGAACTCTGCTGATGGTCCGTAGCAGTGGGAGTGACAATCATGCTCTATTTGTCAACCTCACTTATCACCTGCTGGCCGTTCGCCGTGGACATGGCTATGAGTGGGCAAATAAGCAATGAACAAGTTACAGACGGTGCCAGGCCACTATTAGATGAGCGATTCCAGCACTACGGTGCTACGGGACTGCACCATTGTCCATTGTCCATTATCCACTGCACATTCGATTATCACTCTCTTGACAGAGCAAACATTTCACAATCGGATGGGCTTGAGTGAGCAGATTCTCGATGCGCCGTCTTTTGAATTCTTTGCCCATCTTTCCCCATCTTCTCTCTTTTGTCGATACTCTCCATTTGTCCATCCATTCTATGCTTTCCTGGTATCACATTCATGCCGAAATCGCCCCTCCGAACTATTTACTTACAAACCTCCATCATCGCACTTTGCTACATCTCCAGATCCAAGTTACCGTCACACACAGGCATAATCGACCATATATACCGACCACCTAACCATGCCTCGTCTGGGTGGTCGGGATTTGATCCCGCTTTCGCCCACGGGCTGGGTCTACGGTGGCGGCGGCGGCTTCTACTATGGGGACGAGGACGACGACTACGATAGTGGTGATGATATTCTCTCCCCACTCCCTCCACGACGTCCTCCAGGCGTGACGATCCCGCGACAACCCGTCCGTAGCACCGCGCGAGACATCCCCCTGCCGGACTCGTATCCGTATCCGCCAACACCATTCCCTTTACCGACGAGATTCCCCGAGCCGCCGCGCGGATCGGCCCAGCATAAACAGAGCATGAAGTTCACGCCGTGGATCCTCAATCTGACCTCGAAGACGCACAAATGCGCAGATGTGAATCTGTTCCGGCTACCGCGACCGGTGACCCGGGAAGAAGCATCGCGAGGTGGTCAACGCCAACAAGATCCCCAGAACAGGCGGCGCAGAGGCACGGTGGTGCTTCCCATCCTCCCGGGCCCAAAACGCCGGGTCGAATTCGACGTCAGCGTCATGACCCTCTCCAACGTCCTGTACACGCCCGGGGCGAGGTTCTCGGAACTGAGCTGGAAAGTGCTCGAGCGGCAGGGCTTCACCCGCCATGTGCTGCACCACGACCACATGCACGACGTGACGCAGCTGTCACCACCGACACTGACACCAACAACACAACCAAGACAACCGCCACCGCGACACGGCCACGGCCACGGCCAGCGAACACGACCGCCGCACCACCGCCCCGTGACGGCCGTCGAAATCGGCTGGCGGGGCATCCGACGCGTCGAACCGTCGCGACCACCACCATCGCGAAGAGGATACCCAGACCCACGGGGCGCCCCGGCTCTCGGGCGTCCCAACGCATACGGCCGCTGCGGCCCCTCGGCCAAGGAATCCAGCGTGATCCGGCACCGCGGCGTGCCGGGCGTCGACGTCCTGTGGGTCGGGTACGACCGGACCGTAGACCCGCGGCATCTGCACGTGCACATGACGGGCGCGGATATGGTGGATGTGCGCCTGTGGAGCTGGGGCGTCGAGATGGGCGTCGTGGGCAAGAGCGCCGTCTTTGGTGGGTGGGTTGGATGGATTGGGCCAAACGGCGGCAGCGCCGCCGGCGCTGGTGAAACTGGACGGGAAGGCGTGGAGAACCGTGGACGAGAGCAGGAGGGCGACGGCGACGATGAGGATCTGTTCCGCAAGATCGTCCAGGGCGGGCTGAGGGCGGGGGAGGAGTTGGGTGTCGTATAGTACAGCACAGAGATGGCGCCGTGTTAGCTGGAGTCAGCGACAGTGGGACACCAGACAGCAGAGACCGGAGGACCAGTGATGATATGATATGATATGATACCAACAATACAAATTCCAACCATCAATTTTCGACCCAGGATTCAATACCACGTATACCGCGCATACTCATATGTCTACGCATGGGCATATGATACTCGCGGTGTACCGCACAATCAAGCCTGTACAGCTGCCTACCTAGCCCGCAGCACAGCCTGATGGATAGACACCCGAGGGGATGGGAAAGAATCGAAAGCTAAAATCATGATCTGGTCTATTGATCCATGGGTCTATGGATCGGTTAAAATCTGTCGGGATTGAAAGAACCAACCAATATCCTGTCGCCAGCTATATCTATGTATCCTACATATGTGTTGTGTTCTCGCCGCGTACTAGATTACTAGATTACTAGATCCAGGAGGCAAGCAAGCAAGAAAGGGAGAAAGATAATCCCCCTTCCACGACAGGTTGAGCTCAGTGCTGTCACTCCCCTACCAACCCAATCCCCGGACTCTGAGGAGCCACATCGCCATAGTCATCTTTCAAGTCCAGCACATGTACATCCGTCCCACATGCGCGATCTAATCCCACAGAATCGCCGGTCCTGGAGGGCAGAGAGCCGAGACAATGATGCCGGCTCGGCGCGGACGAGCACGTCGACTTTATTGTCCTCTGACCAGACTCCCGTGTTTGGAGGGGACCCGGCGCTGACGGTCTACCCGCGTTTCCATGCCGCTGCTACGACGGAGGACGCATCTCTCGCAGGATCAAAGGATTGTCGACTTCGCGTCTGTGGAAATCTTCCCACTCTCGACGGGTGCGGGCTGTACGGTGCGGTGAATCTAGGCCAGATCGAGAGACATGCCTGGCGCAGGGGGAACTGGGTGTATGATTTCGAGGTTCTTCAGCTCGAGAGGACCCGGCTGTGGCGATATGCGCGTCTGTGTAATTCGGAGTGGCTCGGTTAGATGACGATTCAACATCGTTCTCCCTTGAGGGATTACGTGGAGGTTGTCGAAATTTGCTGCCTTGGCCTTGTTGGGTACGAGGTGGTCGCTCGGGCAGAGGACGACGAGGATGTTGTCCCAGTGACTGCCGAGAACGACGCTGGCCAGGTCGCTGGAAACGAGTCTGCGATGAGAGTCGCCCACCGTGTAGTCTAACAACGATAGCCCGGCCATCCAAACCCATGTCTCGACCGCTGCTCATCACATTGGTTCCATCCTGATACCTCGACCCACGCCAACGTCTCACTGAACGCATGCGGGGATTGTAGTGTCTTAGAGGAAACACCCAGTCCTGATACCCTTCGGTCGAGGTGTAGACGCTGTCAAAGCCTCCAAAGTCGGGATCGCCGGGATGGAAAAGAAGGGTGCTCTCGTCGGTACAGTCGATCCTTTCCAGGGCATGGTAGTACGAGAGGCGCAACGTGGCAACTGCTGTTTCCAGGTCGCCCAAGCAGATCATGCTTATTAGATCAAGGGTTCTGTGGACCTGGTGTCTGATTTGGTCTCGCCGAATTCGTCGTGTTTGGTCCGTTGAGTCTTGCCTGCACCCTGGAGCGGGAGGGGACTCAGAGGCTGCTTCAACGCGAGATCGATATCCAGATCCAGATCCAAATTCTGCCGGAATGGTGTCGGAAGACTGCTGCTCCGAACCATGCGCTGGATCCTCCTGTTCGTGAATCGAAATAGTCTCTGTTCGTGAGGAGGCAGACTCTCTGTCATGCGATTGGGGAGGGTCAGAAGCTGCTTCAAGATTAGAATCGCTGCAGCGACCTGCCTCGTCCCACAAATCTTGGGGCATTTTCCCGTTCTTTTGCTCCATCCTGAATCACGCAGATAATGGATCTGTTCAATAAATGAGTGGCCCAGACGAAGATCAAAAAAACCCTGCTTAAGTAGCCGCACGGGAGACCCAGGTGACAGGGACAAAGCATGGGGCCTGACTCACAGAACGACATCCGCAAACAAGAATGTGTCAAATCATTCCTACTACACGAAACGCCGTCACCCATGACACAGCCGTTTGATAACCTTAACCAGTGAGTAAGGTCCAATACCCTGCTGGACCGCCAAAGTGCAATTGTAAAGAGTGCAATAGCCAAGAGCGCATGTGTGGTCAAGAAGATGTATAGATTTTGGGGTCACCCAGGAGAAAATTGTAGTTGACTCCATCCAACCAATTCCTGACCAACAGAATGGTGTACAGAGTGTCGGTAATGTACATGCTTTTGAGATGATTTGATGATGTACAGGGATTATGCCTCGTTGGCCATTCTCTCGGCAGCTTCCCTTGCTCTTTTCAAGTCCTCCTTTTGTTTCCTGATCGCGTCCATGCCAGCTTTGACCCGCTGCCGGTCCTCTTCTGCCTGTGCAAAGAATTCCTTTAGTCTTTCCATTTGCTCGGTTTCCTCAGGGTTCTCGGGGTAGTCCTCGCATCTTGTGGTGTTCTGGAACCATTTCCATATGCTCCCTGGTTGGTGTGGCCCTAAACGCAGTTCCACAGTTCTGGTGAATATCGACGTCGGAGTAGGGTTCGACGACGAAGATGGTGATGCACTGGAGGTTGTCTGGTCGGAAGCTTGCGATTTGGTCTCTATTTCGGTCCACGTTTCTCGATACTCGCCGTCGTTGCTTGTTTCTAAAGACGTCTTTTCCAGCTCTCTCAGCGTCTGCTGGTCGGCACTCTCAAACGTCAATTGCAGTCGCCGGGGGCCCTGTTCTACTCTGATTGGTAGACCTGGGTTGTGGTATTTCAATCGTGGTAGGTGATCTTTCTGAAATATTCTCGCAGGTCTCGTGCTCTTGTTCCACTGCTTTCGGTCATATTGCAGGCTTAACCGCGTCAATTGGGGAGAAGGTGGAGGAGGCAGGATAGCTGCGCCTTCGCCATGGCGGACTTTGAAAAGCTGCGGAAATGAGCACGCATTCGGCCCGTCGAAGATCTCAAATACTCACTTTCTAAAATATCATCAGTAACTCTTCTACAAGACAGAGAAAGGACTCACAGGTTGAAGACCGCGCATGCGCTTCAGGACATGCACCATTTTCGCGACCGTCGTAGCTCCCAACTAATCTTGGGCCAGGTGCAGACGACGAAACAAAGGTAGAATAAATGCAAAGGTAGCTCCACAGTGTGCTTGGGAAATCCAGCAACTAGTTGAACTTCAATGCACAGTTCACTTGCTGCACATGCACATCTGGAACAAAAGTGTCAAACTCAGAGCCTGTCCTGATACAAACGCGCCGAGACAAGGCTGCGGCTCGGCGTGTTTGCTACCAGGCGGGTCTGCTGGTATTTGAACTCTATTCGGACAAGGCTCTCCCCAAAAGGGGTGGTTTGTTTGCCCAGCGAGGTTTTGATGATGTGAAGGATGAAAAAAGACCTGCAACCTACAAAGGGTTTAACAAAGACATGGCCTCCCAATTCTTGTGTGCAGTTTCAGGTAAGCAAGAGGAAGGCATGTCTATTCAAACAAAAGGCGGGCATTAGGACAGGGTGACAAATGCCAGAGATATGTATTTTGTAAGTTGTACCAGGATCAACAAATCCACCGAACCTTGAGCCACTTCATGGTACATTGCAGCTTCTGAGCTCTACAGGAATGAAGATATGGAATATTGTTTGAGCGAGAGCTGGAGAGTTTGAGTAGTGTTAACTGTTATCCATAAAAGTCCTTGTCTCTCCCAAGAGTCTTCCAACCCGATCTCTGACCTTGACCCTGAACGTCGTGTCAAAACATAATTCTGTAGGCAGCACGATGGTGCGACATCACGTATTGCTAGTTTTACAGATCGTGGTGCCATGCAGTGGCCAGGCTTGTGATGGAGTACATTGTGAATGCAATCATTCTCGAAGGTCCGGTCTGGTAGAGAGGAAACGGACCGGTATACTTGGACGATGACCCTGTTAAGGTCAGTACTGTAGTGCCTGAGCTATTCTCTCTCAACTTATAGTGCCAACGCGTTGATTGTTAAAGTTAAATGTGCTCTTGTCTTGTTGTGGTGAAGTAGCATATTCCCAACCCAGAAGACATTTAGCGGTGCTTCTTTGTGAACGAGGTCCGGAGAAGTTGAGCTCCTCTGTGTTTGCAGAGGCACATTGATTCCTGATCAGGCAAATGGCGGAGGTTCTGGTGCAGGGCTCTGTTCGTACATTTTTGAAAGAACAACGGTTGTGGCGGGACTGTGTGAGAAGAACACCGTAGATAGTGAACTGATGTCTTGGATGTCAGCACTGGTCATTGTCTGACAACGTAGACGCATAGGTGCAAGGTGTAGTGGTCATGGAAAGGAGCAGGCAGAGTCAGGAGGTTGATGGGAGTCCAATGGTAGAGACAGAGGAATATGTTCACGAGCTTGGTACAGAGTTGTTCTTGATCTCATCATCATCTGTAGAGAGACTCTGGGCCTTGTGACCATCCAGTGACTATAGAGATCGTATGGTTGGCAATCAAGGAGTGAAAAGGAAATCACAGTCTGTGAGAAATGCAAACGTCTCTACAGCAATTAGTAAAATTGCACCAGACGATCCTGTCAGGAGACTTACCAACAAGCAATAGCCAGCGCCAAGTTTCTCTCCTGTCGACACAGACCACAACCTGTCCGTCTAGAAGACCATAAGGAGAACAGAAGGCCAAAGCCCAAGCATTGCCTGCGCCCTTTCTCGACAAGTGACAGCGCAGACAGCACAGCGCAGGCAGTCCGGCACCCCTTCCAACTTGGGACTGGCGGCTCTGGGAGTGAACACTCTTTCTCTCCTCTCCTCTCTTCTCCCCTTTCTTCTTCATCATCACCCTCATCATCACCCTCCTTCAATCATCCTTCATCAAGGCCACACCATCCCAAGCATCGTGCGTCTTCACCTCCACGCAGGCTTCGTGAAAAGCTATCTTCAGAGATAGCTGTCGCGTTGACCGCGTCGGACAGTGTTGTCGACACTTCACGTTCGTTCGTCTGGAACATCATCCATCTTACCCCTTTTACAAACCTTCTTTACCACAATCCGTCTTAGGACAGTCTTCCAAAGCTTGAGCAGTCTTCACCATGGCTGTGGACAATCCTGTCTCCGCCGCTGAGGATGACTCGGCTGTTCATCACCAAACCGTCACCTTGCGCCCCAACAAGAAAAAGACCTTCGGCAAGCCCAAAGTCCGAGCCCCATACCGCGTTGTGGAGGTTGAGAAGAAAAAGCCGCAGCGTACCTCTCTCTTCTCTCTCGTGTTTACCGGACTCAACATCATCAGTATCTCGGCATACCTTTGTGTACTCTTCATCAATATCATCCAGACATGGTGGCGAGGTCAGGGGTTTCATAGGGCTGCTTATCTCTTCGCTCTTGGACAGTTCTATGACAACCGTAAGTGTGGTCCTCTCTCGGTCGACGTCGACTAATCCTGTCAAAGTATCGTCGATCTTGGATGGAGCCTGGCGTATCGTGGTCGGCCTCGCCCGTGACTCTAAACCACGACCGACACTTCGCATCCTCGGCAACAATGTCCCAGGAGTTGATGTCCTTGTTGTTTGCTGTGGTGAGCCGGATGATGTCGTCCTGGACACGGTCAAAGCTGTCTGCAAGCTTAACTGGCCACATGACAAACTCAGAGTCATTGTGGCTGATGATGGCAATATGGAAAGCCTTCGCATCCAAGTCGAGAAGCTGCAAGGCAGATATCCACATCTGTATTACCATGCTCGTAAGAAGCCCAGCGATGGGAACCATGGATACAAGGCTGGCAATCTGAACCAAACCATCCGCGAATATGTCATCGACCTTCCTGGTGGCCACAATGACTTCATGGCGATTTTCGATGCCGATATGATGCCTGAGCCTCAGTTCCTGCGAGCCCTTATCCCACATGCCCTCAAAAATGAAAAAATTGGGATGGTCACTGCAGCTCAGGTATATCATTGCATTTGCGTTTGGTGATCGTCGCGCTGACAGTGATAGCATCACTACAACATTCCCAATGATGATCCGTTGAACCAAGCCAACTCGACTGGAACTGCAGCTGATGATGGGCTTCGAGACTCAGTCAACGTCGCCTGGTGCCCTGGCAGTGGCTTCATCGTTCGTAAGGAAGCTTGGTCTGAGATTGGTGGTTTCCCAGAATTCTCAATCACTGAAGATCTCATCACCAGCTGGTTCCTGCATGGAAAAGCCTGGAGGATCGTCTTGGTTCATGAAGTTTTGCAATGGGGGCTGCAGCCAGATTGCATCCTGACTCACTTGAAGCAGCGCCGACGCTGGGTAAGCGTGAACATGACCTTGTAAAAAAGTGTTGATGACTGACACAGCACAGTGGACTGGACATATCCGTGACGCTTTCAAACTGGGCTTCACCTTGTGGGACTACCGCCTCAAAGAAGCTACACGGCTTCAACGCATCGCCATGCTGCACCATAGCTGTCGACCTTACTTGATGACATTGACCAAGCTTGCCACCTCTGTTTTCGCATTTGTCTGCCTCTACCGCGGTCGACCTGTCATAGCTACCCCAAGTCAGAATGCACTGTATTGGGCTGTCATGTTCCTTGCAATCGTTCGTATGATGGCACTGATTGGAGACATCAAGTCGGTCTTTGGCAAATACTACCTGAGCGTCCGTCGTCGTACTGCCACCGGAGTCTGGATGGGTCATCACTTCTCCCGCGATGTTCTTCAAACCTTGCTGCCAAAGCGACTTGGTGGTCTGCGTCTTGGGTTCGGAGTGAGCGGTGTCGGCGGTACTTCTGTTAAAGAACGCGATATCAATAACCGTCCTCCTCTTGTCAAGAGACTCTGGATGCTCCATCGCCGTGAAGGTATCTTGTGGCATGTTGTCCTCTTTTTCATCATGTCTTATGTGTTCATCTTCAGAATTCAGTCTGAGATCAAGGCATCGGTTATTGACGGCAGGTTCATCGCTGACAAGGCGTTTTGGTTTCGCTTCATCGCTTCGGCTGGCTTTCCTGGGCTTGGACTCATCGAGACAATTCCCCTGTACCTCACACCTGTCGTTTACGCCATCTGGCCGCCAACGATGCCACAGCGTCGTGACAGCATGAAGTATGACGGCAAGAGCGGACTGTGGAAGCCAATTCCAGAGTACAAGAGCATCAAATGGACATCGGCTAGTTAGTGGCTGGCTGTGCCTCACATCCTCGGTGTTGCTTGGATGGCGACTGTCGTCGTTATCATGTGGCACATGTGAGGTGGCACGTGTCCAAGGATCGAAAGTCATGGGATGAGTCGATGGAGAAGTTCGTTGGTACAAAGAGGTCGAGAAGTGAAGGAGGAAACCTAGTAAGGGTGGCATCAACCCTTGGCAGCGCAGGGCAATGCTAACCGCGCCTTACAGAACAGAACACAGAGTCGTCAGTATCGACACACCTCAGAGACACACCTCAAACAGCGACCGGGACAGAGAAGGATTGATAACACCAAGCAGCGATCGCACATGGGATATAACAGAAGAGCTCAAGGACTATCCTGTTTGTCATCACTTGAGCATCGGTCACCGTGATGTTGAAAGTGAAGGATTCTGCGAGGGGTGCATCAACAGACACACAGATGACCGGGAGGAGAGCTGTTCCTTGTCCTTCTTTTTTCCTTGTTCCTTTGCTTTGATATCATCAGTCACAACAGCCGAAGACGGCCAGCGCTGGTCCATGTACACAGGCCTCTTCAGGCACATCCCCAAACACAGACCATAGCTTTAGCTTTTAGCATCAATTAGAATCAGCAGGAATCAAAACCGCTGAAATCATGCTTTCCGTGCATTCTCCAGCATCTCCTTTGCTCTCAGCTCCTCGTCAAAGGCATCTGGATCCTCCATCTCCCTGTCCTTCGTCCTCTTTGGTCTCAACCCAAGCTCAGATTGATGGTCCCAGATCCGATCGTGCCGCTTTGCCCATCTTTCTCTCCTTTTCTCCATCTCAACTTCATCCTTTGGTCGCCATTTACTCTTCAATATCCTCCGGATTGCCTCTGGAGACACCTTGAAATGTTGTGCAAGAAGTGGTGTGGACCATCGCTCTGGATCTTCTTCGTGGAGAGTACGGATCCCATCCATCGCATCCGGCGAGAGTCGCTTCCGCGGGTTCCATCCTTCATCACCAAATTTCTTCGAGAGACTGACCTTTTGGGTCTGCCAGGGCTCAAGCTTCTTCCGCGGCTTCACGTTCAAGTCTCGCAACTCTAAACGCGGTTTCCTTCTGGGTTTTGAAGAGGCACCGATACCCACACCCGCGTCTGTGTCGGCGTGACCCTCGTCAGAAAATTTCGACCACGGACGCCCGTGTCTGTCTCGGAAATGAGCCCTTGAAGATATCACGACCATTCCTTCGTCCTCATATTGTCCCTCTCTATCACTTTTGCGGTCGTACCCTCCAATCGATCTTGCCCCATTGTATTGCGGTACGCCTTTCCCTCTTGTTGATGCCTGTGCGCTCGGGCTATTGGTGTCTGGCGCGCGTGCGTGTGTCTGGGAGGAATATCTCCGTCGCTTGTGGGTGTTGCAACTTTGGGGCAGAAACGTCCTCAGGGAGGCGGGTATCGGTCGTGTAGTGGGCATCAACAAAGGCATGACTGGAACGTGCGGTTTCGGTGGTGGAATGTACGAAATGGTATGTGCACGGCGAGATGATGCGCGAGACTTTCTCGAGATGGTCTTGACGATGCACAGCAACCTGTTGCTGGTCTGCATATTCACAGACATGATGCCTTCGCGGTGATGTCCCAGCCGTGCCAGCCACGTCCCCAACCCCCGAAACTAATGTTATGGACAGTTTGGTATGAAAGGTCGAGAGTCCCTTATCCGTCCGCGGCGATGAAAGCCTGGACCAAATTTCCCCAAGATGCAACATGCTGCATGACTAGAAATGCCGAAGATTAGGCGAGATCTTGACTCGCGATTTGATCATCGGATCATGACTGACATCAAGATTCCATCCAGGTCTGGCCCTTGGCCACATACAAATGGTAGACTTTTACAACAAATCGCAAGTATCTTATTTGCCCTCTCGTCGTTTATATGCCGTCTATTTCACGGTTTTCTTTCCAAGATGGCCTGGCCAAATCCATTCCGACGCCGAGATGAAAACACACGCACAGCCTGGGGATATACCTTCCAGATAACATCTAACCATCTAACTCTAGAACAGGCCCATCCCATGAAATACACTTATGATGTTCTTGGAGAAGAGTGCTACGACATTTTGAACCGGTTGAGCAGCAGTCTCCCCAATCAAGCAGATCCGCAAGTGCGAGACGATACGCCATCAGAGAGTGTGGAACACCCTTCGCAGGCGCCTAGCTCGACCTTGAACGGCTCTGCCGATACGACTCAACCGCCAACACCGTCTCCGAGACCGAAGCGCGACCTCTACCTACTTCTACGGGACCATCACTCGTCAAATCCCAAACTTCAAGAACTCTGGGACGAGGTCACCACGGTGCCCAGTTGGGTTGATTGGGAGCAGATTTCCCGCGGGCAGGATGTCTTCTACCGCTATGGCGCGGCGACCCTTACAGGGCTGGCGTATCAGTCGCTCCTCGGAGGCATGGGCGCCAACCGGGTTGTCGAAGTCCTCGCCCGCACGGGCGGCTTCTCGGTCAAGGTGGCGCGGCACCGGCTGTTCGAAACCACACAGCACATCCTCGAGTGCACGCGATCTCTCGAGAGCATCCAGCCCGGCGGTGCCGGCTTTGCGAGCTCGGTGCGAGTCCGGCTATTGCACGCCGCGGTGCGGCAGCGGATCATGCAGTTGTGCAAGACGCGGCCGAGCTACTACAGCGTGGAGAAGTACGGGGTCCCGATCAACGACCTCGACTGCATCGCCACCATCGGCACCTTCTCGGCCACCATCATCTACCTCTCGCTGCCTCGGCAGGGCATCTTCCTGCGCCGGCAAGAGGTCGAGGACTACATCGCGCTGTGGCGGCTGATTGCGCACTACGTGGGCACGCCGACCGAGTACTTTGCGACGCCCGAGCGGGCGAAATGCATGATGGAGAGCCTCCTACTGAATGAGATCAACCCGTCCAACACGAGCCAGGTGCTGGCCAACAACGTGATCCGGTGCCTGGAGAACCAGCCGCCGACGTTCGCGAGCCGCTCCTTCCTCGAAGTCAACGCCCGCTGGCTCAACGGCAACGAGCTCGCCGACGCGCTGGGCCTCGGCCGCCCGGGCCCCTGGTACTGGGCCCTCATGGCCGGCCAGTGCATCTTCTTCGCCTGCCTGTGCTACACGTACCGCGCGATCCCGGCCCTCGACCGCCGCAAGATCGACACCCTGCGCAGGGTCTTCTGGGCCGTCATCGTCGAGGGCAAGTACGGCCTCGCGGGCGACCAGACCGTCTTCGAGTTCAAATACGTCCCCGAGTTCGGCCTGGGCACCGCCAAGGGCGAGGACGACGAGACGCGCCCCGCCGAGGTCGGCATCGAGCGGAGGAACCTCAATACCCTCCTGGTCGCCACGGGCGTCTTGGTCGGCGCCGCTTGGTTGGGCGTCAAGGTGTCGACGGCGCTGTTGGGCAGGATGTTTTAGTGCAGGGGTTCATAGAACATCTGAGAAGAAAAGGGATTCGCGACGCATTTTTGGCATGACGACGGAGTATGGAGCAATGGCGCTCGAGGCGGCGATATATTGGAAACATTTTATATTTTTGCATATACTTGTACACACTTTCACACACACATATATCATATTTATGCCAGGCGTCGTCTTGCTGCGTGGGGTATCATACTCATCAAAGCAAATGCGAAAGCCAGTCAGTAGTCTACCAGGGCTGTGTCTCCACCTCGTCAGTCTTCCAATAGTCAACATGAGGATGGGCTCTCTACTCATGCCGTCTGCTATGTCATCCAGTACCCAAACATGTCCAATCTCAACAGGAGATACTCAAACATGTTGACATCAGCGTCGTCGTCAGCAGCGTCAGCGTCAGCATCGGCATGGGCATCGACATCGGTCTCAATGCCAGCAGCATGTTTTCTTCCGTGTGAGTTTCCGGCTGATTGCGCTTGGACACGCAAGGTGTCGATAAACATTGCAACTTTGCTTCTAAAGTCTTTCTGCAGTCGTCTCATCGTGGTCTCATCAGTGGTAGCATAGTCCGCCAATCCGGGATTCCTGCCAACACTTCCGCGCCGTTCGGCTGCGGCGTGAAGTATGATTCCGTAGATGTCTTCCAGTATCTGCCTCGATCTGGCTTGATTTCGTTTCAATAGGAGGGCCGTCAAGATCTTGTTCAACGCTCTCGCGTGCAATGCTCGTAGGTGGTCCAGACTCTTCACCACGAGCAAGGTCTGACCGTAGTCTTTGTTATCGAGGTGTGCCTTTGCGGCCCGGAGCACTGCCTGAAACTTCCTCCAATGCACCTCAATCGCGGTATTGTGGTAGTAATCTGCAATACTTGAGATGAAATGGTGCATCGTAACAACCAACTTGTGATCGGAGAGACTGCTCTTGGGTGTCTTCTCTGGTTGGCGACCAAACCCTGCTCTTAGCATACTTTGTGCTGCGGCTTGTATTCGCAACGTACGCAAGAGATGCTGAAAGATTCGATCATATTTGTCTAGTATTTCTGGCGTGATGACTGCCCCTAGTATTTCACTGGGTGCCGTGTATTGAAGTCGAAGGAAGTCAAGTGCGTGGATTGAATCAACGTCTCGACATTTCTCAAGCTCCTCGACCGGCAAATCGCGGATTGCAAAAGACATAGACTCGTCCAAAGCGCGATCTGCTGGACTGAGACTGTCTGAGAGGATGCTCATGAGCACCAATCTCAATTCCGAGCCCGCAGGTGGCCACGTGTCTCGTACATGTAAACGAAGCCCAGTAACGGCACTCGTTCTCCTGTTGCCTTCACCGCTGTTCTGGTCGGGGTCAAACAAAGCTATGCTGAGACGAGATGAGAAGAAGGCACTTCCGAGCAGATGGAAATCCTTCTGCAGATTGAGGTGGCCGAGGAGATTGTGTTGTTGGAACAGCAATCGCAGGACAGAGTAGGAGAGCAGCCTATGTTGGGCGGAGACGAGAGGTGTGATCGATAAACTGAGCGAGGTCTGCAAGTCCAGCTGAAGAGGCGAATTTTCGAGTTCTTGTCCCTCGAGGTATGTCAAGACTTGATCCTCGAGCTCGTCGTAGTTCTCATTCAAATCATGAGTGCTGTCGTCGAAAACGTTGATTTGTAATCGAAAGGCACTGGTGGTCTCTGCTTGCATGCTGACAGAGTCCTCCAGATCGAAGCTTTCAGAGGCAGGGGTGTCGATGGAACTTGTAGATGTTGAAGATTCCGCGGACGATATCAACGATTTCATAGCCTCTTCGTATGCGATAGCACGAGCCTGAAGTTCTGAAATGACCAGCAGAGTAAACCCAGCCTCGAGTTCCTTCAGTGGTGAAGATTCGGGTACAACAGTGGAAAAGATGGAACTGTCTGCAGAGTGACTGGCCAATACCTCCAGGCTCTTCTGAGCCTCGGATATTGTACGTGCGATCTTTGAGTCAACAAGAACTTCCCACACCCTATCATCGACAAGCGAAAGCTCATCGAAAGAGCCCCTGAAATTTCCACGTTGTGTTGAGCTGAGCCCTATCTGTTCGCTCAGAAGTGCCAGGACCGGCCGACATGTCCGGGAGAGGAGGATTTGTAACAGTGCGGCTGTGCCAGGGTGATCGAGAGGTGGCCCAGCAGCTTTTTGCATCAAACTAAGGATGACCAAATCTTCCCTTTGATGTGTTTGAATTCCGTCGATACACTGTTTCAGCATGTCAACAACTATCTTGACCTTTCCCATAATACCTTTGAGTTGGAGTATCGACGCAATGCTTGGTCTCAATTCGACAAGGTGCTTGTGCACAGCATAGAGCATGGACCTGGAGGTAGACAGGAGAGCTATTTGAGCGGAAGAGAGAAGAGTAGACTTGTTTTCCAAGGCTTGAAAAGCGCTTGTAAGGAACCGGGTGTCTATCCCAATGGTCGAGAAGGCCTCAGAGCAACTCTGCACCAAAGTCGAACTGTACCCGCGTGCCGACAGAAGTTGCCAGCGGGTAACAAATGTACTGTCCTTCTCCTCCCACCTGAACAGAACAGAGTCTCGCCCCATGCACAACTCGAACAAGGCGTTCAAGAGGATGTCCGACTTGACAAATGTTGGGGGACTTTGCCCGTTTGGACCGAGGATGGAGTTGAACACCCCAGGATCCGTCTCGCTGAGATATGCTGATGCAGGTTCTTGGTGGCGTTCATCCAGAAATTTGTCCCAACTTAGCAGTTGTCCCTCTCTTCTCTTCTGGATATCTGGTAAGATCCAAACATCAACCCATTCCTCTTGCACGCTGTCACCGTCCAGGCTCTCGAATTGATCATTCTCGGAGTCGGACGTGACCTCGGACGATGCTGACAGATCCTGTAAAGACACATCCTCAAAATTCAATTGAAAAACGTCGGTTGTGAGCGCGGGGAGAGGTCCTTGTGTCGATTCATCCAATTGAAGGAGTCGGCTTTCCAGGTGTTGCTCGAGCTGGAACGCATCCCAGCTTGCGTCGGAGGGCAGAGGTACAGGTTTGAAGTTTTCTATGTGTTTGACGGAGAATGGATGCACTGGCTCTGAGGGTGGCATGGTGACATCCTGGAGGCATTGTGCGATCTTCTTGGTCTCTCTGCGGGCGGTGGTGGACGAGAAAACTACGTGCGGGCATGTCCAACGCGTAACTGAGTCGACGCGTTAGACAGTGCGCCGCTTTAACATCCCGCAGAGACAGAGAGGATGAAATAAAAGCAGCATGGATTCAGGCTCGATGCGAACCAGACGGAGATATCATCTATCGCGGTGTCAAGCTCTAATCGACATGGTCGACGTAATACTGATAGCCTTCTCCTGCTGGTCTTTCCGATCGACCAAGCCATCGACATTTCGCCCATTACCCTTGAAACACCTGGGTCACAATCCCTAGTCTACCTCGGACCCGTTCGTGTGGAAAGGGAGGCTTCCATTTCAGTCTCCTGAGCGCAACCTTTCTTCGGTGGTGGTCCATTGAGCATGTCTCCCAAATCACACATCATCGCTCTCTACGTGCAGGAGATAGCCAACACCAACCTTCCGCAAGCAAATTCGCATGATGCACACAAGTCGCTGCGCATCCCCCTAAATGGTTCGAGATCTGTGCCGATGGCTCGTAAGATGAAGTGGAGGACAACAGTAGGGATTACGATCCTCCTGTTCTCAAAGGTGCACCTATTTGTAGGAAAGGCACTCCTATTCTGACTTGGAGAAGCTTGGACAGCAAAAGCTGTGTCAGCCGACCTTCCCTCGATTGGCTTCTCGCCAGGCCGAGCCCCTCGTCCTCATCCACAGGATGACCAGAGCGCCTGTACTCACGAGGATTCCCAGGCCAGTGAACATCCATCCGGTGCCCTCGGCCCGAATCAGCGGGTGTGCGAGTATAGTGCCGATACAGGAGAAGATGTTGCGGAGGAAATTTGCCACAGCGACCCCACTGCTGGGTTTGCGAGGGACAAACTCGGTCAGCATTGTGACGGCTAGTCCAAAGATGAGCATTGCAGACAGGCCGAAGACGAGGGTTGCCAGCAGCTGTGGGAGTTCTTCGTTAGATGTATTCGAGGAAGGCCGTTACGCGGCTAGAGCAGAAACATGATGGGAAGAAATATGGCAAATGTGGAGGGATCCGTACCGGAACAACCCAGAACGCCCCTTTGTCTGCACTCCAACCATACCACAGCATGGATATGGGAAACGCGATGGCAGCTATCCAAGCGTTTTCCATCATTCGATCCTCAGGTCGCAAGACCAACTTGCCATTCTCATCATATCTGTTCTTCCGCTTTGCTTCTCTTGCCATGACATGGTCAGCCCACCTGCCGCTGAACAAGGCTGAGATCAAAAACCCAAAGCCCGCAGGGATGTAGGTAAGGCCGACTTTGGAGACGGAAAAGTTGTAGGGAGACTTGGCGAAGACGTCTTGGACCGAAATGTTGACGATGTAAAGCGTTCCGAAGGCGAGCGATGCCCAATACGCTGTGAAGAGAATGGGAAGGTGACGGAGAAGCAGGACCATTTTCAGCGGGTCGACAAGGACACCCCAGGACATGCGGAGGAATTTCTTCGTGCGGCCGGGAGCTGTGGAGGCGGCAGATATCGCATCTGTTTCTCGCGCAACGTCCTCGTTCGGATCTTCGTGTATCCTAACAGTCTCTGGTAATGCGAAGAGAAGAAAAACAAGGCTGACTCCTCCATATATTACCAGGAACCACTGTGTGCTTCTCCAGCCCCATCGAGCAGCTAGGAATCTTGTTCATGTTGTCAGCACCTATGAATTGGGAATCGACAGAAGAGAAATCAAGGGGACACTTTTGGGATCTTGCTTTCCGACAAACCTTACCCGCCAATGATGGGAGCGAGCAGTGGTCCACACAAAGGGCCCATATAGAACCGCCCCATCGCTTTACCTCTTTCAAAGGGCTCCCAGATGTCGGCCAAGGTACCCGCTCCGACTGCTTGGACCGATGCCCCAGCCCCCCCGGACAGCATGCGCATAGCCACGAAGACACCTATCGAATTGGCTGTTGCGGAGAGAATAGCGAAGAGGACAAAAAGAGCCAGGGAAACAAGGTAGGTCGTTCGACGGCCGGCCGTTTCGCTCAAAGCAGACCACCACAGAGGACAGAAGGATATACTGAGCATGTAGAGAGCGACGGAGAGGTTGGTGACGGTGGCGCTGGCATGGAGGTCCCGAGCTGTGTCGGCAAGAGCAGCTGTCAAAGGGAAGATTCAGCATTTGGATATAGAGTCCTGCTTCTCTGGATGAATAACTTACGGTAAATGATGGCACTCCCCAGCGAAGTGGCCGCTGCGGCAAAAGCCACCACAAAGGTAATGAACCATTTCCTGCTTTTTGAATAGAGATATGGATCATCAACCTCAGCGAGCAAAGTCAGGGAAGCGAAGAGACCCCTTCTGGCCAATCGAGGAGTCACGGTGGGTTTGTTCGGGCTGGACTGTAGGTCCGCGGGTGTGATGTTTATGCTTCTCGCCTGGTCCAGCAAATCTGGAGAAGCTTTCTCCAGGTCTATTCTTTGGTTTTTTCCCAGCGCTTGAGGTGACGGTATAACCTCTAATGCCTCGTTAGGGGATTTTGTCTCGTTGCCGTGGCATTTGGCGTCGTCGGCGCTCTGAGCGACTTGGTCTGAATGATGGCCAGGTCCTTCCATAGGGGTCTTGTCCATTGGGAGACAGTATGCTTGTCAATTCCCATTGACAATCAAACAGACAATGAATTCCTGACAGAATTTCCCAAATCTCGGGAGGCTGTGGTACCAAAAAGGATAGAAAAACAAGCAGATTCAGAGTCAAGCTTGTGACTTATCTCTGTGGCAAAGCTCAAGATGTCCCAGGCGACCAACACTCGGATGGAAGCCAGACCACCGTCGCTCCACGGCAAGAGACACTGATTCCATCTATACTTGTGCAAGACAATGACAAGAAAATCAGAGGCACGCGCGCAGTTGCCGGATCTGGGATGACGAGGGAGTCGGCAAGCTTGCCGTTGTCCTTTGGTCGATCAGTGCGGGTTTGATGGAGATCAACCGCGGAAGCTCCACCGGCATTTCCATCTTGCCTATTACTACTAGATAGATACCCGAATCGATAGGCACCTAGTCAAAGTACGTTGTTGGACAGTTAGTAGCGTCAAAGTCAAAACAGCGCTCTTCGTGCCGTGTGTGGGTCGATGTCGCCCACAATTCCACGAATAAGTCGGGCGTTATAATTCTCGGATATTTCGAGTCAGAGGAGGGATGGTAGATGCAGAAGACACTCTGATGAATGAGGGCCGACCATCGAGGTCTTTGCGGTAAGCATCGCTGACAGGGATCGGACGAGGATTGGCGTTGCGGGAAGTTAGTGAGGGGGTTTCGCTTCCTTCTCCTATGACTCGGCCTGTTCTTGAGTTTGAGATTGTCTGTTTTGGGAAGCTCATATTTATCCAGCTCACCAACATATCCTTCTAGTCCCTGGTTCCTCTTGTGGTGAACGTGAGATCTCGTCCATTCAAGGTCGTCGTCAGAAGGTGATTGTGACAGAGGCTTGCATGGTGAACGGCCATTGGTTGCCTCACCCTGGTCTCCACCTTACTGATTGAGCTAGTCCTCCTGTGGTCATTCTCAATGACCCCCGTCAGCCTCATGAACAACAGCTGCTCTTCTCAGCCTTATTTAACAGCTCAACCTTGCTGTAGGATTTCTCGACCAGAATGTCTCTCGAAACAATCTCTCAAGAAACCCTCTTGTCAGGGCATCACTGATAAAGCCGCCAGAAAGCTATGGCTGACCCGACGCCATTTCGTTTCAAGCAACAGCACCCAAACGTGCCGTCCAAGAATCCAAGCCTTCCCAAGAAACAATGGGAAGAGCTAAAGCCCGTGATATCAGGATTTCTACATGAAGGAGTCACCGTCTCCGAGATTCTTCGACAGCTTGACTCTAGGCATGTTCACGTCACAAGGAGCCAGCTCACAAATCAGATGAATAAATGGGGACTGAACAGAGACAATGCCCAACTCCACCAAAGAGCTGACCGCTCGGCTCGAACTCTTCCGACGACTTGTCCAGACTCTACTGAAACGCAAGGTCTGGGCTCCAACATGGAAACTACGACGATCCGCGACCGTGGGTCCGTTACAGGTTTCGAGACCTCGACCCTGGAACAATTCTCATCTTTAAGAATCGAGTCAGGCACAGACCATGTCTCTGAGGCTACCGGTGCACATTCATCGCCCGGCGTAGGTCCAGGAAGTTCTCCAAAAGCGGCTCCTACTCTAGCTGTTACTACGGACACACCTTGTATCAATGAGTTTATACATTCGGCCGTACCGTGGCGGCGTGTCATTTTGACCAGTGAGCTATCTGCACGACCGGCTCAGACGTTCAACTCAGAAGTTCAAGTGACGACTTATCCGACACTCCGCATGCCTCCCTACGAAGTGATCAGCACTATCAATGTTCGGAAAGAACTGCTGATAGGCATAACTCCATTCACCTCCGGCGGACGTTCCTTCATCGGCAGGTTAGATTACACAGCAACATTGCTTTTCCTTACGAGACACTTTGGAGAAGCTTTCGATATCTTATATCTCATTTCTTCTACACTTAATGACTGGATGAGAGAGAATATCTGGCTCAGTCGCTACTTTCTCCTCTTCGTCATAAGATGCGCTCGTTCTGCTTGTACTGTACAACAGAAGCTGGTCGCAGAAGCACTCGTCGATCAGCTCAGTGACTGGGTGGAGAAGCTGCAACAACACGTTGACCGCGGCTGCGCACGGTATATGCGAGGCCTTCTTCAACTGGGCGTGGACGGGTCGGAGAGTGGAACACCAGAGCAAATGGCCTATTGGACTGCTAGCTCTATTCTATCCAGCATGTGGCTTTACCTGTTTCCCACAAAAATCGGAGCAACGGAATTCCATCCCCGAGCCATCCTTGACTATCTCTACCTTTCTCCCGAAATCCAAGTGTCGATGCTCAGTGCTCTCTCTCTCATTAGAGGAGGTGTGCGGGAGAGATATGGGGACCTCAATAATCTCAACAGGTATGATCCTACCCTGTTTCAAGAGTTTGTCGGATCTCCTTGCTTTGTGCAGGCCCTGGTGTGTCGGCTCCTCGAAAAGCTCGCCTGCACTAATCCACTCTATTGGTCTGGTAACTCAACTCCTGGCCAAGGCAACAAGCAGTTTTCAGAGGGGTTTTTGAGACAGGCTGTGGTGATATTGACCTTGCTTGTCGTTTCCCGCTCTTCCCTGTCTTTACCCAGAAGTGTTTATTCCCTTGAATCTGCGATCGCGAAACTTCAACAAACCTTGGAGTCCGGCCCGGGGAGCAGTGACTATAGACAAGTCGTTGATGAGTACCTGCAGTTGAGTTCAAGAAGGGTCGCAGAGGAACAACAGACAACTTTAACACCACTTTGGCTTGATGTGGCAGTACCCAGAGAAGTGACAGGTCTAGCGAGTCCGACACCTAAACTTGATGTCTTTGACATCTCAATCCAGCACTTCAGGCACCAAAGGGGTTTCACAAGAGCGGATCCGATTCTTGATCTACAGTTTCCAGGTGCTCATTCCTGGGCGCCACAATCGCCGTCAATTGGGGACCGATCAGAGGTAGCAACTCTTGCCAAGTCTTTGACGCCGTCAACGAGCTCGTCGTTTAGGTTGTTCAAGTCCATCGGCCGTGGAAGCGTTGCCTCTACTTCTAACCTGTCGATGCGAACAGCATCTACAGGCATGTCATTAGGGAGGATGAGCTGGAAGTTCAGTGCGGTAACGGGAATGCCGTCGGATCCCTCAATCGTGTAAGCCATCTCCCGAGTGTAAGGGTATCAAGCTCATTCCTTCAGGGAGACCAGCAACAACTCGATCCGTGCAGATTGTACCTAGGATGGGTTTTGAATTGCTCGAAGGAGAACCACCGCTGGGTATCTGGAGAGCAACAACGAGATGATGTGCTAAAGTGACAGAGGAATGGGAAGGTCAGTGGTGGAAGTGCTCACTGCGGCACATTATGCTCGAACTAGAGCCTTTTGCTGGACAAGAATGCGATAATATAGATTTTAGTAGGTTGAGATTATACACCTATGATGCAGATTTGTGATTACTTGATGCCTTACGATTCCCTTCCAAACTCGTGGTTCATGAGGCACTGGCGAGGCTGCGATTTGTTGAGAAACCTTCATATCATTGGCTGAGGGTCAGCCTTGCCGCTTCTTGCCTCTTTCAACCCAATGACGTACGAAAGAGGAAACTCAGCCGCTGCGAATCAAACCCAGCATCTCAAAACCGGCGAGAGTCTCAACCTTTCAACACGACAGACCTCTAGAAGAAGTAGCTAGAAAAAATCTGCCACCCCTTGTTGACCGAGCAAGCGTATTTACCACCCAGGAGGGTAAGAACGCGAGGCCCCGTCTATTCGTCTCCTCTGGCTTCATCGACATTCTTGTGTTTGGAACAGAAGGCCAGGAATGATCTTAGGCGCCGAGTCCAAGCTACAACCCTGCGCAAAGCACCCGAGACAGGATACAGACGAGTCCGCCCTTCTTCCTCCGTCTTGGGACCACGTTCACAGACCATTCCCGAGGACATTTGGAAACCAAACAGAATCCGACCATGGCGACGACCACAGCCTCCGTCACGGAGGCGTCAACTTACAACTCTTCCTCCGATGACACACTCTGCTGGACCACCGCACAAGAGTCGGCGCTCCTGCAAGCCATCATCCGGTGGAAACCGGTGGGGATGCACAAACATTTCCGCATGATCGCCATCCGAGACCACCTCCTGTCTAGCGGGGCCATCAACCCGGATGACAGTCACACGTCCACGGCGGGGATCTGGCGAAAGCTGGCGAGTCTGTACGATCTCGAAAAGCTGGATGAGCGGGAAGACTCGATCATCTTTGATGGGTCTGGTGTGGGCGCTGCCGGCGTCGAGGCAGAGAACGGAGGAGGAGGCGGCGGCGGTGCCGGTGACGAGTCACGCAGTGGCAGCAGCTCCAAGGACACGGAGTACTACTGGCGCGAGTTCGAGCTTCCCGGGGACGACTTTGGGGAGATGATGTGGGAGAGACGGCTTGCTCCCGAGCCCGGGTCCAGTATCGAGAGCAGTCCCCTGACGCAGCCGTCGAGCCCGGACGTCGAGTCCACAGCAACTAGGGGCGAGAGCACGATCGCCGACACGGACGAGCCGCGCAGCTCACCTGTGAGCGTCTCCGGGAGAGGGTCAGGGCGGGGCCGAGGCCGCGGTTCTGGCCGCGGCAGGCTGTCCCGGCTACAGAACGAGCTGGAGACGGCGAAAAGCGAGCGCGGCGGGAGCCGGAGGACGAGCAAGGCGCCGAGTGTGGTGGAGCCGGATGGGGACCGAACCATGGAGGACGCGGCGGACGAGGACGCCGCCGACGAAGAGCCGGACGAGAGCGGAGCCGGCGAGGAGGGCGACAGCGACGATCACGAGGAAGAGGAGGCCGAGCAGAAGCGGAGTGGGCCTGCGAAGCGGGGGCGGGGCGGATCACGCAGAGGGAGAGGCAGGAAACGGCGGCGATGAGCCTCTTATCGGGACCAAACAGACATTGTGAAACTACTTTTCATTTGGAATGACAAGAGACGCCATGGCACGGATTGAATGACAAGGGACACCAGAGACTGGTGTTGACTTTACCAGGAGAAGATGATGATTCCGCATTGGAACTGCTCTACATCTGGGTATCAAACCCGATTGCGCTCCAGGCGCACCAGACAGCTTTAAATATCGCTAAGCTCCTCAGTGCCCGTGGTAACTCCATCCTTCCCCCGATTTGCCTTGACGAACCGTCCTTACGACGTCGCTGCCGCCCCCGCAGTGGCCTGCTGCCTCCCTCTGTCCTTGTCACTGCTCCTCGGTTTCTTGAAACACCCAAAACTATTTCGACTCCCGTCCCTCAGTTTCTTCAACACGATCCGCATGTCGCCCAGTTCCTGCTGCAATCTCGCCCTGGCCTCGTTTGTCGTCCTCTTGTCCAACTCTGTGTATATCTGGCCTTGAATCTCCCCTGCCTTGGGCGTCGAATAGTTCGTCATGGTCTGGGCAATAAACTCCGTGTCGAGGGTCGCTTGCATCAAAGCGGGGAGGCTGTAGGTGTTTGGTTTGCGCTCTTTGAACCCCTCGAGCAGGGCTTGCGAGATGTTCTCGAGCATATAGGACAGAATCTCGCCCAGTAGGGGACTGTTTGACCCCGTGGTGCTTGGGACAGTCGTAGAGACCTCCGTGTGGACCATCACGAGCCTCATCAGCGCAGCATAGACGTACGGTCTGACTTGATCTGGCTTTGGATTTGTAGGTACCCAACTTGGCGAGTTAATTCCATCTTTGACGATTTGAGTCAAGTTCGCGACCATCGGTTTGGTGTATGAATGGAACAATTTGGCGTCAATTTGGCCAAAAACATCCTTAATGGTCTTGGACTCTTCCGCCAGCTTCACAGAGAATGAAGATTCAAAGACTTGGATAAGTGCGGGCACATGTTCGTTCCGTAGCGCCTTCAGGTTCGACATAGTCAGGAGCATGCGAATGTTACGGCTTGAGGCGTTGATGGCGTCTTGCATCAGAGCTTCGCTTGGCGTAGCACCGACGGCAATCGAGTTGAGGCTTGTCACCAAAACCCAGTCTTCCTCGTCTCCTTGGTTCGAAGCCTCGGTGTTTTCGAGCATGCCACTGGCTGTCTTGTAAATTGAGCTGACGAACTGGGTCCGGACCATTTGCAAAAGCTTCGACGGTGGTGGGGTGAGGATGTCGCGACCTCCTGGCTTGGTGGTAGTGTCGGAGAGATATAGCACTTGTTGCATACCCTGAAGTACTTTTCTCTCGAAAGCTTCGATATATATCGGCATGCGAGTCTGATCGCGTTTGTCAGGCGAGCGCACCCAGTCCTCCATTGCCTTGCAGCTTTCGGCATCCTTGCTCCAGGCTTCACAGACGGCTCTCATACATCGCTCTCGGGCTCCTGCGATCATGGTCTTGATCTTTTCAAACATGGCATTGTTTTTGCTCACTGGACCCAACGCGACCATTTCGCCAGCACCAACCCCAACAAGGGCGAGGATCTGCTGCAGATAGTGCACGGCGCTCAGTGCGTTGGAATGAGGTGGCCAGAATGCATAGTCTTCCCATGGCTCGCCTTTCTTTGCCGCCGCCGCAGGCAGATCTGTAGGATCAAGTCTGCCTATTCGGCCATCGGTGGGCGAGAATGCCGCTCCCATGTGAGGGGTTGTAGGTGTACCGGCGGATCCAGGTACTGGCGAGAACAGAGACGAGATGTCTTCAGCAGGCGGATCCGCGAAAAGCGAAAAGACAGCATCCCTCAACTGGCTGACCAGCTCGGTGACACCGCTCCGCAACCCGTTGACATCCGATTCGGACAGTCGAAGATGCTTGCTGCTCTCACCTTCATACCCAGTGGGTAAACTTTTCTGTCTGCTGCCATCGACAAAAGACTGTGCTGTTTCCCAGAAGTCGATAATCTCTCCGAGCAACCCGTTGGACAAGGATAGCAGCTTCGTGAAATAGGTCAGTGTGCAGCTCCAGAAATCGATGACATCCTCGGTGTCGAGCGCTTCGGGTCGCTCTTTGGAGGCTTGTCTCAGAAACATCGCCACAGTCTCGGAGGATGGACGTTCTCCAAGTGCCAGACGGCGGCGCAAGATCTCGATTTCAATCTTGGATCTCTCCACAACCGCTGCAATCTTGTTCTTCAAGAAGTCGTACCTGCTGAGGAGGTAAACCCAGATCGGGCTTTCTTCCACACCCAGGTGTAACAAGACCGTGATGAGTTCCATATGCTCCTCTGCCTGGGATACCCCAGAGAGTGGGAGAGCGGCCGAAGTGTTGGAGAGCTTGCGCCAAATGTCGCGTTTCAGTGCTTTTATTTGTTCATCCGCACTTGACCACATTTTCCCAACAATGACAACCCGATAGACTTCATCATCTGAAAGTCCACGGCCAGTTTGCCTCACCTCTTCGCCGAAGGCTCGTGCCTCGGCAGCATACCGACGAGCAGAGTTGTATAACTCTACAATTCGGTCATAGTCTCTCTGGTTGATAGCTTCGCTCAGACACGAACCCAATTCAAAGATTGCCCTGTCTTTCTCCACCGCATTCAAGATAACTTTTAATTTCGCTTCACGTTCCTTTCCTCCTAAGGCAGGGCCCCAGACGTCCTCGGCCTTTTTGGAGACCTCCGACAGCGAGATTTTCATACCTTGCACGCCATAGTCTGTCTCTCTGCGTAAGGCATTTTTGCTCGGGCGCTGAGGAGGTGTCGCGCCAGCCGCACTGCCACCGCTAATATTCCGAAAGTGGATGCCACTGACACGACGAGAATGGCGGGGAGACGGGGGAGTATTAGCATGAGTATCAATGCCCTGGTTTCGCATTTCGGTATACACATTGTCGATGGTGGCTTTGGCGCGGACGAAGCGCTCAAAGTTGGTCTCCACCAAGGCTTTGAGTGGTGCCGATTGCTGGTCGATGGACCTGGCCAGATATTTGGATCCTTGTATCAGGTCTTCTGTGGTGTCGTCGGAGTGAGTCGTTGATAGGAATAGTTCGGGAGAAAAGGTCGTTGAGGAGAGCATGAACCTGTTTCTGTACCGTGTGTCATGTTCCGCTGGCAGGCCAAGGTTCGTCAACGAGGTCACCACGCTTGATGGCGCCCCCAAAGGATCTGGTTCATCTTTCTGCACCAGATTCGCCCTGCCCTCGACCGTTCTCTGGGATCCAGGGAGAAGACTCTTCCTCTCACTAGCGGTCCTTTCCAAGGCTGAGTAACGGGAGCGAGACCGTCTGACGCCCGCGGCATCCGGGTCCTCGTCATCGCTATCCAGCTCCGCCGGCCATTCTGTCGGAAACGGATTGGATATGTTGTAGTGATTCAATATGTCTCGTGTCTGGGCCATGGTGGACAGACTGAGGACGAGTCGTTTATTGCTGTCTTGGAGACACGATTTATTGTTTGGACCACAAGGAGGCCCGAGCCACGAGATTATTGGAGGGAGATTTCTCGCAGTCACGTGCAAGCTTACATAACTCTCCTCTAGCTGCCCCCCCTTGCCATCTGTGATGTAACTGGTACGTCCCTGGTCGATAAAACATTTCAGACTGAAGCTCCACCACTCGAGCTCTGGCGCTATCTTTGCAAAGTATACGACTGCGCCAATTTCTCAACTCTGTTCCTCGCTCCATGTGGTGAACAGGATCCCTTGCTGAAGCTCCTTTGCTCTCGTTGCTCAGCAATTTCACCAATATTCGCCCACCATGATCGCTTCTCGAGCATTTGCTGCTCCAGCTCGCCAATGCCTGCGAAAAGCTTGCACGCAGCCAACATGGGCTCCCGCATACTTCCAGGTGACTGTCAGATGCTGCCAGAAGCTTCACAGTGCCCATTTGACTGACTCTGGCTATGCAGACCCAACCTAGACGCTACGCTTCGACTGCAGAAGCGGATAAAGTCGCCAAATTCAAGGGCACGAAAGGACCGGACGGAAACTACACCGTGACACTGATAGAAGGAGATGGCATTGGTCCCGAGATCTCGCAGTCGGTCAAGGACATTTACAAAGCTGCAAAGGTGCCCATTGTGTGGGAGCCTGTCGATGTTACACCTCGCCTGAAGGACGGCCGGACGGTCATTCCAGACGAAGCGATCGACTCGGTCAAGAAGAACTACGTCGCGTTGAAGGGACCCCTCGCAACCCCTGTCGGCAAAGGCCATGTCTCTCTCAATCTTACCCTCCGACGAACCTTCAACCTGTTTGCCAATGTCCGACCGTGCCGCAGTATAGAGGGCTACAAGACGCCTTACGACAACGTGGACACTGTGCTCATTCGAGAAAACACGGAGGGAGAATACTCGGGAATTGAGCATGTGGTGGTGGATGGCGTCGTGCAGTCCATCAAACTGATCACCCGCGCAGCCTCTGAGCGGGTCTTGAGATACGCTTTCCAGTACGCCCGGGATGTGAACAAGAAGAAGGTCCGCGTGGTGCACAAGGCGACCATCATGAAGATGTCCGATGGTCTCTTCCTCAGCACTGCAAGGGATGTCTCAAAGGACTTCCCTGATATCGAGTTCGACGCGGAACTGCTCGACAATGCTTGCTTGAAGATCACGACCGACCCGGGTCCATACTCCGACAAGGTTCTGGTCATGCCCAACCTCTACGGCGATATTCTTTCCGACATGTGCGCCGGCTTGATTGGTGGTTTGGGTCTCACTCCCTCAGGCAATATTGGTGACGAGTGCTCCATCTTCGAAGCCGTGCACGGTTCTGCCCCTGATATCGCAGGAAAAGGCCTTGCCAACCCCACTGCTCTTTTGTTGAGTAGTATTATGATGCTACGGCATATGGGATTGAACGAACACGCAGTCAAGATCGAGAACGCCATTTTCTCCACGTTGGCGGAAGGCAAGACCTTGACAGGAGATCTGGGTGGAAAGGCCAAGACACACGAGTACGCTGCCGCTATTATTGACCATTTGTAAGTATGCAGCTTCGGTAGGAGGCAAACTTGGCTGCACGTCCTCGACGGTTTTGGAACACAGAGACGACCTCAGCGATCAAGTCGAGGCGCAGTGTATGCCGCCTTGAGCAAGTCATGTTAGGGTGGGATGGTAAAGGCCGGGGTGGATGCAGAAGCCAGAAGTCACTTTTTTTTTCCCGTACTTTGAATTTGGTCTGATTGATGTATGATCTTACAAGTACCACGCTAGAGCGATCCGAGTCATGCAAATAACATGTATTGATTGAACAACAGCATGCGACCTTTCCCAATTGTGTGGGAGCCAGTCCACCAATTTGCGCCACCTCTCAGAGGGACTGGTATATTCCTTCAACAACAGAAAGCTCCGCCGTTGGTGAAGATACAACGAGGTATTGTACAAGTACTGAACTCGGTCGCCGGCTGGTCGGTTGGCGGCCAGGTACAGCCCTTGTAGAGTGAGGCATTTTGACGCGCGAAAGTGGATGTGGCGGCAAAAGAAAGTGTTCGGAAAGACCGGAAATCGGTCCACGACTGGACCTATTTTTGTACAAAGTACAAGTGCCTGTAACTGCACCTGCACCTGTACCAGTACCTGTTATGGTCACGACCACACGACGGGAAGTCCGGACAAGGCTGTGTGCGTTGGAGTTTTCTCGATTTGTATGTTAGTATTTCCATTTTGGGAAATTGTTGGAAACCCGATCGAGCCAGCGTCAAGCGTCCACGGGCCCGACCCTGACGACTTCTCGTTCCCGCATCTCCTTGACACGTCTTTCCTTCTCCAGACCCTTCTCCACCCCACGCTTCTTTCTCATCAATTTGTCGAATCGCCCTCGCGCCCCGAATTTGACCTTGGTGATCATGTCGCCAGCCTGGCCCTTGGTCAGATCCATCTCGGTCAGGGGCTCTTCCTCAGAAACTTCACGCAGTCGGTTGAGAAAGTCGAGTTGGCCCTTGGAGGCGGGCGATTTGCGCCAGGACGATGATGTTGCGATGAATACGCGTTCAAACTTTTGAGCCGCGAAGGTGTCGGCAGCATGTAAGGCGTCGCTGAGCGTTGCGGCAGTTGCCACAGTGCGAGGACGAGACCAGGGTGATTTGGAAGTCTCGGTCGGGGGAAGAGATTGCTTCCATATGACCGTGTACGAAGCGTCAGTGGCCCTAGGATTAGAGTCGAGCGATTTGGAGTAGGGAGTGTCGGTAGGGAGGCGGCGCTCAAGGGTCAGAATTCCGCCTCTCGCCGCAAGAACATACTTGTAAGAATCGATCTGAACCCAGGCATTGGGGGATATGGCGCGCAGGTGTCGTTCGCCTGAAGTATCTTCGATCAGGTCGTGCACAGAGTCATAGTGGATAAAGTCGAGTTGATGATTGCCGGACACACCATCGGAATCATCAACGGGACATGCCGCTTTCGTAGAGACTTCTTTCTCTGTTTGGCTATTTTTCAACGCTTTCAAGTCGTCTACTTTGGCTGACCTCACCATCTCAGCCGGGTCCAGGCCGAAAAGGGTCGGTACTGTCACGATACCAGTCTCAAGCGAGGCGACCATGTCAATGACATGACAGTCCTTCTTGCCCGGATACAATCTCATACCGCGTCCAATCATCTGAACAAGCAGATTGCGGGATTTGGTCGGTCGTGCAAGCAGCACGCAATCAATGTTGGGCACATCAGTCCCTTCAGTAAAGACACCACAGTTTAGCAAGACAGGGAATTCGCGCTTCTTGAATGCCTCGAGTCGTTCACCACGTATGCCTTTCTTCGTATTGCCGGTGACAGATTGCGCATTGATGCCGTGTTTCCTGAACGTGGAGGTCAAGCTCGCCACATGATTCAGATCGACGCAGAAGACCAAGGTCGATTTCCGATCGCTGGCTTCTTCCATCCATGCCCGAACGGTGATTTCGTTTGTAGTTTCAGTATTGACCGCGGCCGAGAGTTGACCCGTCTGGAAGTCTCCATCCTTGCCACTTCGAACCCTTGAGAGATCTGCCTTCGACCTGACGGTCGTGAACATGACATCTGATAGCCACTTTTCGCCAATCATGTCGATATAGTCTTTGTGATAGACAATGTGATCGATTGCCGTCCCCAACTTGAGGCCGTCGAAACGAGAAAAGGTTGCCGAGACGCCAACCAGTGCTGGCCCAGTACTTGTTTGCTGTTCCAAGCCAAAATGTTGGAGGACTTGCAGGTACCCAGGAGCCACGATGTGATGAGCTTCGTCGACGAGGACCAGCTTGAATCTTTCGGGTTTGTATTTGCTCAGCCGCTCGCCAGAGACCATGCTCCGGACAGATGCCACCGTAATGTCTGCGGCACCTGAAGCGTGAATGTCTCCCATTTCAATGTCTATGCTCTTCTCAGGGTATGCTCTCTCGCAGTGACGTGCTGCCTGCTCCACCAGCTCTCGCCGATGAGCAAGGATAAGGGTCTGTTGGGCAGTTGGACTTGGTGGCTCGATTCGACTGATCAATTGCGTGAATATCACCTGGAGAAAGCAGCGTTAGCATTGCTCTGATGCATCCACCACTCCTGACAGTGAGCGCACCGTCTTCCCACTGCCAGTAGCTAGTGAGATGCCCAAGCGCCTGTGGCCCTTCTCCAGATATGATAGAATCGATTGAATGCATTCTTCCTGATATGCCCGTAGTTGTATCACCTCGTTACGAGCTGCTGGTGATGTATGGCTGACGACGGTCGCCAGCGACCGGCGTGCGAACGGTGAGATCGGCAGACATGTCGCTGGACGACCAAGTGCGGAAAGCCATCTGAAGGCTATTACCATTATTTGGCACGGTGCATCGTGGGATAATCAATGACATTGGAGTGAAGGCCGTCGTAGACGTTTGGACTCTCTTAACCTGCCGCTTTAATGTGGCCCGACTTGAGTCGTACAAAGGTTCCCAATGGTTGTACGACGTATTCTAACCTTCATCCAGAGCAACGATGTCCCAACTAGCAACCCTTGACCACCTCAACTTACCCTCTGCTAAGTTTCAATATCCAGATCGAGCACGGAGCACCTTCGATACCAACATCAAGCTGTCGTCTTGACATATTTTGAGAAAATGCCCGAAAATGGCAGCGGCATCGGTGAAGATGCCGGCAACATGTTGTCTAGCTCGCGTGCGGACTGCAAGTTCGGCCGCATCTGGGGTCAACCATCCATTATTCGGGTAGAAGGTACTCGTATTTGAGACTTCTGCATTGTATTAGGCATTTCTATGTGCTAAGTCCATTGTTTATTACTCGAGACAGTGATTTTGAGGTCTGTTCCGAATAATTATATGTTCATTGCAGTGCCAACCTGCGACTCCTGTTATCTCGTGATGTAGCTAATCTCGCGGCCTTTCGCAAGGCTACCACTCCCTTGTCATTTCGATCAGGAAAGGGATTCGGAATAGCACCTATATGAGGCGAATTTGAAAAGATTCATGGATCAAAGATCACGACTCCGTTTGACCAATCCTTCGCCACGATCTCCTATATTTATCGAAGATAGAAATGTACTGCGCCATGGGCACAAAGCCCTCGTGGATTTACAACTACGGATCACCCAGGGCAAGTGCCATTCTTGACTGATCTGAGGCGGTAAATATTGTTGATGCACTTTGATGAGACCGCCACGCTTCTGGCCATTGATACTCAATGACCCTTGGGCTGGATGTATCGCCCATTGACTTCTAAAACCCAACCTTTTGTATTGACGATGGGTTAGTTCACAGACTGCATTTCGAATTTCTTGCCCTCGCACCACACTATGCTACATGAAACACCTTTGCAACTCCCTCGTCCATAAATAGTTTTGACCAGCCTTGAGAAGTAATGTGTAAACATCGTAACACCTTGTGCCCCAGCCAATTGAGTGACGTTTTGAGCGCGTTTGCCCTGATATAGAACGTCTATTCTTGGCAACCACCCCGACCTCTCCCTCCACACACACACACACCTCCCCGACAGAAAAACTTAAGATAAAAGGACCCACGGCTATCAGAGGAGCTGTAATCGATAAGGATTCACCAAAAAAATAAGGGTGAAGACCCCCCTTTTTGCCTCCAACAAGATTCGAACTTGTGATCTTCGCATATATCACGTTTTCGCAATACAAGTGCGACGCTGAGCATTCCTGTTAGTTTCCCTACGTCCTCATAGTGTTTTTAAAGCGCTTACCGTTACCCCTGCGCCATGAAGGCGGCAAAACATTTCCCCGTATGATGTAAATCGTTCTCGAGACGAAATGTAGTGAAGATTTTTGAAAGTTAAATATACAAAGACCGAAGGAAAATGAGCCAAGAAAAGGCTTAGTCAGGACGATCCACAGCCTGCCAAGCCGCTCTACAGTCACTGGAGCCCGAGCGACCGGTATAGCGAACGGTCGAGATCTGCGACACCGGCGACGGCGACTACCTTACAGACCCTGGCAATATCGCATGCAGCATAGTCTCTGATCTTCATACTACCGTATACCGGTGTCAAATCGCTGATACGTAACCAGCGGCTTCGAGAAGGTTGGTCCAGCAAACCTAGCCGGCATGAGGCTGTGTGAAAATGAGTTGTGTTGAAAGAAGAGCCTTGTCCTCAGTCAACAACCCTGGACTTGGCTGGCGTACGCTTTGACCAAGTCGACAGGCTCACTGTTGTCGGTATTTCCGTGCATGGTACCAGTCCAACCAACCTTTGCGCCCGCGCACCTCGTACATTGGGCGATACACGAGGTACATGGACACCGTCTTCTTCAAAGCCCGTTGACTAGCCCGATCGGTATTTGATAAAGGTCCACATTTGTTGTTACGGAATTAAGAAAAGACATGTATGATTCGCTCGTTGGGAACGACATCTCGCCGGATACGGTCCTTGTCTCTCGTGTTCATACCAGGACCCTTTGTCCTTTGTGGTCTGTCAGAGAGCGACGGGAATGTCAATTCCTCAAACGCCCGATCGACTACCGGATTTGTCTCAGCAAAGCATGGGTAAACCCCTCCTTGCAAGAGTACCCACGCCAGAGAAGCAGAATCTCCTACCATACGGGAAGAGGACTAGCACCTAGCGAGGGCGAGGACGGGCTCAAAGAAGCACCCTAGCCTATTCGGGGATTACACCAATGTCGTTTCTCCCGATATGCGCCATGCCTTCCCTTGTTCATGGAGCTTAGACCTAAACTGTCTTGCAACTTTCCTCCGACCTACCTCGGTCTGATCTCGTCCCACTCCGTACGGGAGGAGACTCTGGTAAGGTAGCCCAATACGATATCGACATGGAAAAGAGCCATCCGCCCGCAGGATACATTAACTCATGTATCATATGTACCATCCAAGGCACTTACGAAATCCATCACCTCTCTACACCGAAACGCTATTCAATCTACAGCAACAAGGAGCAACTCAATTAATCGACATGCGGATGGCAAGGGCAGCACGTCTCCATGGAAACAAAAGTGTCAAAATTGAAACATTGCCATTGCTAGATACGACGTTGGCAGAGAAACATGTCGAGGTGGCTCCGGCCTGGTGTGGAATATGTCAAGGGGATGTGGCAGAATATGCCCATGGACCGGTATGTTTGTCGGGTTTGAGACTCTCGGAAGTAGGCCGACCTCGTTTCCTGACAGGAGTGTGCTAAAAGGTGTATACACCATGGCCGGGGAATCCACACCCTCTCAGTCACCAGCATTTACCCATGGTCATCGGCCACGAGTTCTCGGCGATCGTCACCCAAGCTCACCCTTCAGTGGCTACCGACTTTAAAGTCGGCAACCATGTGTCGATTGAGCCGATCCAGGGAGATGGAGACTGCCACATGTGCATTCAAGGTCGCGAGAACAACTGCGAACGACTGTCGATACTCGGCCTCACTCAAACGGGTGGCATGATTGAGCGGCTGTCGATACCGGCTCGAAAATGCCACAAGCTGGAACCCGGCATATCTCTACAGGTGGGGGCGCTTGTCGAGCCTCTTTCGGTGGCATGGCAGGGCGTCGCAAACTCGAAACACATCTTGGATAACCACCTCAATGCCTCGGTGGTCATTATCGGGACCGGCATGATTGGGATTGCCAACGCCCTGTGCCTTCGAGCTGTGGGCAGATTCCAGGTCCTTATGATCGGCAGATCCGCGGCACGCAACGAGACGGTCCAAGGCCTCAATCTGGCAGATGTCGTCGTGGATTTCAATGACACATCCCTGGGCAGAAATTGGACAACTACTTCCAAGGGTGTGTGTAAACGGGTTTCATTTGTTCGTCCGTCAGAACCCCGGGAAGCTCTCCAAAGTTCGAAGTAACAATATTCAATGGCCTCAACAAATGCTCGTATCGTATGCTGACACCCGAGTCTCCCTGACTAAAGACTAGGTCCATGCTGCATCTTCGACACTGCCAATTCACAATCCACGTTTGACCTTGGGATAGATCTGCTCCGGAAAGGGGGCATGTACTATACCTTTGGCCAGTTTCACAGCAATGTAAGTGTCGATCGAGGTCGCAGTGCTATTTACCATCAGACCAGAAACTGACACCCGATCAGATCTCGGTTGACATGAACAGGATCATTTCAAAGGCGCTCGTCGTCACCGGAGACGGATGCTACCGGTCCGGGACGTTTGCGTCCGTCATCGAAGCCCTCTCCCAGGACTTAATTCCCACCGCGACCCTTGAACAACTGGTGACCAGGAGGATCCCGCTGGGTGAAGTGGAGGACAAGGGTCTGAAAGAGCTGATGGAGAATAAAGACCAACATATCAAAATCCTTGTTCGAGTGAACGGCGATATTCTGGAATGAGGAAGACTGCACAAAGGCTGATCTTTTGCCCCCTGAAGTCTGTACTTTTGAATTAAATATCTACATGATATGTGCTCTGCCAAAATCACGGCAAACCGCCGTCGATGGTGATTGCACTGGCTGTGATGAACCTGCTTTGATCTCCAAGGAGATATGCTATCAGGGAGGCGATCTCGTCCGGTCGGCCTTTTCGTTGGATGATCTGGTCTGGGGGCACGCCTTCAAAAGCGGCCGTCATGGGGGTGTCAATGACACCTCTAGCAGGAACGGACCCAACAGTCAGTAAGTGTTCGTTTTTCCCCTCTGGGAGGGGGTCTAAATACTGGCTCAGCGAGAGGTGATCAGCGGTGAGATTTCTTACGGGCAGATACAGTTGGCGCGGATCCCCTTTGCTCCGACTTCCTGTGCGACCGCCTTGGTCAGACCAATGACCCCGTGCTTGCTGGCACAGTAGGCGGCGTAATTGGCCGTGCCGTGGAGTCCCGCCCTACTGGAGGCGTTGACGATGCTGCCGCCGTCGTTCATGGACCGAACTTGAGCTTTGGTGCAGATAACGACCCCGGTGAGGTTGACATCGAGCACCAGCCGCCAGTCGTCGAGGGCAAAGTCGCTCACCAGGCCTTGTCGCAGCACGCCGGCGAGGTTGACGGCGCCGTCGAGCAGCCCGAACCTCTGCACCGTCTAGCGAATCCACTCGTCAACCTCGGGTTCGTGGCGGACATCGAGAGCCGTGCACATGACGGCGCAGTCGGGATGCTGTCGCTTCACTTCGGCCGCCACTTCTTGCAACTTGTCGAGGTCCAGGTCGGCGATGGAAAGATTGGCGCCCTGTCCAGCGAGGCAGATGGTGGTCATGCGCCCGATGCCGGACGCTGCCCCGGTGATTGCGATTGTCTTTGCCAACAGTGCCATGACCAGATGGTATTGTCCCCTCAGATACTGTAGGCCTGGGGAGTCAGGTCTGTTATCGGTCCGCACCATGTGTCCTCAGAGAGGAAGTTCCTCTGAGTAGGTAGGATTTCTCCCACGGTCCAATCGGAATTAGAGTCCTCATCCCTCGTGGTCTTGGGAAAATTCCAGCTTCTTTCTCGGAATATGCTCAAGGAAACATGAGTGCGCAGATGTCGACCGGGGGTATATATATGTCTCCTTGTGTGTCGTAAAGTGGACAACACATTTCACCTCCAGGCCAACAGATTCCGAATCTTGTGGTTGATTCCCGCATCTCATTGGCTGCAGTTCGACCGACTTGGTATGGGATGGAACTGTGCGAGGATCCGGGGATTGTGTAGGAGAGATTATGGGGTTCGCATGAAATTCCGGGGTCGCCAACTGCTTTCATTCTGCACCTCGGCCCCGTATATGGAGAGGATGCATTGTTGCTTATACAAAGGAGGTACACACGATTTTGGCTGTGGCCTTGCAGACCATCAATCCCTTCCTGCACCCTCCACTTTGCTGTCGCTCCCCTGATCATTACAACCTCGTGAGATTTGACACCACTGTCTCTCCCACTCGGGCATTGACAGAGATGGGGTCCAAAGTTGACGACAACGATGAAAACGCCGGCACGGCGGTCCAAGTTGAATCCTCCTCAATTTGTTCGACCAAAGAGACGTCGCCACCACAACCAGCAGCCTCTCACAAGATCTCCTTGTCGACCTATCTCGCAATCATATCATTCTGGGTAAGTCCTGTAGCTCCCGCAAGTGTGTGTGTAAGTGTGTGGGAGAGATTGTGTCTGATTCATGGCTCGTGTCTTCTTAACCTGAGATTTCCTACTAATAACAAATCTAGTTTCATTATGGAGCGGCCAACGTGGCCATTGTCATGATCTCGGCCGTCGTTGCAAATATAAATCAAGATATAGGTGAGAGAAGACCCCGATACCTCCATGGGTTTCGGCTGCTCACCTTTTCATCCAGGCCCAAGCTCCGTCTACACATGGCTTGCGTCAAGTCTGGCTCTGGCCTCGAGCATCAGCGTAGGAGTTGCTGGGACCGTGACCGAGTAAGATCCACAAGATTTTACAAAGATGCCTACCGTGGTCGGTGTGCCAGGAGATTGACGGACATCAAATCCAGCCTCACTGGACGACGAGGATATTCGATCCTGTTCGGACTCGTTGGGATTGTGGGATGCATCGTGGCTGTCACGTCCAAGAATATCAGCCAGTGTAAGCACTCGAGACTCCCTTGATGGTATCTGCACATCTTCAAGGCTCAAGCTGACATCTCTCTAACAGTGATCGGCGCCAACGTCCTCGTCAGTCTCTACATCGGCTCCAGCGAGAACAGTCTATCAGCCGTTTCGGAACTGGTGACGCACAACCAACGCGGTGCTGTCATGGCTTGTTTCAATGCTGGGATCGGCGTCTTTACCGTTTTTGGTTCCTTGATAGGTACGGTGAACACAATCCATAAAGGACGAGTCACTCTCGCCAGTCCCTACACCTCGGTTTTCTGCGGTCGAGGAAGAGAAAAACAGAAATCTAACAAAAACATGGAAAAATACTACAGCTCATGCCATGGTGAGGAATGGATCCTGGAGAAGCATCTATTACCTTGTCATCGCCCTGGACGTGGCCGGCACCGTCGCCCTCTTCTTCCTATAGCATCCACAAGCTCCCTTGGCCGGGTTCAGCTCGTATCGATCATTGGTCAGGGGCTTCGATTGGTTCGGCCTCCTTGGACTGATGGTGAGTTGGTGAACTCTTCCCATGACTCGCTCGAGAAGAGAATGTTACTGAAGCTCGTGGGTTCAGACGGGCCCGACTCTCCTCCTACTGGCCATCACATGGCTGGGTGGAACATACCCCATATCAGATGTTCGCGTGTTGACGACGTTGATCATTGGCATCGTCATGATTGCCCTGCTCGGAGTCTATGGCAAGTTTTTCCCAACAGAAAAAGAAGGACCTGCTTCTTCAAGGTCACCACCCCGTTTTCCTGATATTCACTCGCCTTGACAGAGGCCTTTGTGCCCGAGAATCCCCTCCTCCATCCTCATCTTTTCCGCCGTATCCGGACTTTTACCCTGATTCTCATCGTCACCATCGTGGGCGGCATGCTGTGAGTGAAACTTTTTCCCATGTCAGAATCTCTCATCGCGGGTGTGGGATACGGGGGAGGATATGTCCTAACTGATCTTGAAAACCCACACAGATACTACTCGCTCTTGTCCTTCTTCCCCCTCTACCTGTCCTTGATCTACGTCAACGACCCCTCGGACGACATCAAGATCGGGGTCTACAACATCCCCTTGCAAGCGGGCAGCTTGTTTGGCGGGGTGACCACCTTCTGGGCTCTTCCCAAGCTGAGAAAACCCCGACCAATGCTGATCATCGCGGTACGTTTTGACCGTTTTTCTTTGTGCCATAATTATCTCGATCTCTCGACTGAGATCTCCGCCGCAGGTCTTTGTTCAGCTCCTCTTCATCGCCCTCATGGCTATACCCAGTAAGTCACCCACATCCCGCCTCCAATCACCCTTGTCCGGGGCGAGGCTCGACGGGAGGGAGAATCTCGAGGAATATGCCAGTACTGAAAACACCGACCGCATCAACAGATCAAAACCAACGACCAATGGCACTGGCATTCTCCTTTTTCGGAGCTGTAGGGCTCGGTATGTTTTTCCCTTCCCCCCCGGAGAGTTGAATAACCAAAGTCTTTCCAAGTCCCTAACTCTCCGTCGTTAGGATCATCTGTCTCTCTCTCGGTCCTCCTGATCCAGTTTTCAGTCCCGGACAAATACATGTAAGTAGACCGCCCATACGAGATATATGCTCTCTCTCTCTCTCCGCCTTTTTCGTTGTCTTTTCCAGGGGAAAGGGGCCAACAAACCCATCAACGAGAACCTCCTCACTGACAACACAACTCCCCCCTGTGCGTCGGTGCAGCGGTTTCGCATGGGGCATGCTGTCGCTGTTCCGGTTCGGCGGCGGCGCCGTCGGCACGGCCGTCTACTCGTCCATCTTCTCGTCGAGGAGCGCCGACAAGGTCCCCGCCTACGTGGCCGCGGCGGCGCTGCGGAACGGCCTGCCGAGTTCGTCGGTCGATCAGCTCTTGGGGGCCGTGTTGACCGCGACGGGGGACCCGTCACCGACGTCCCGGGATACACGACCGAGATTGGCGTCGCGGTCAGCCACGCCGTCAAGTCTGCGTACGTCGCGTCGTTTAGGTGAGTGGTCTCTACGTGTCCCCAGAGTTGAAAAAGCAACACCCCAGCTTTTGTCTGCCTGTCTGCCTGTCTGGTGAAACAAAAAGAGCCAACACCATCAAACCCAGATACGTCTGGGTTTCGTCCATCGCCTTCGGCGCCGTCTCTCTCATCTGCACCATCTTTGTCAAGGACGTAAGTGAGATTCTACTATTTTCTTTCCCCTCCCCAATATCCCCTTTCTTTTTTTGGGGGGGGGGGGTTTCATTAAAAGTCACCGAGTAAACCGGGTTCTGACAATCCCTCGACAAACCATACAGCTCAGTCACCAGCTCAACGACACAGTCGCCATCAGGCTGAAAACGGAACAACGACAGGACCAACAAGAACAAGAACGAGAACCAGAACCCGTCGCGGAAACGGAAACGGGAAAGGAAACGGTCGTGGGGAAAGAAGAAGACGACGAGTTGGACACCAAGACGAATTAATTGATTTGTTTATTTCCGAAGGCTGCAAGATACCGACACTAGTTGTTGTTGTTATTCTTGTCTGGTTGTCTGATTGTTCTCTGGTTGTTGTCGCCCGTGCAGGCAGCTGGCTAACTACATGGAAAGACATGGAACTACATACTAAGTAGGTCGGTTGGTCGGACTGCAAAAAAAGAAATAATATCCATAACGAGCTGAACAAGGCATTGATTGAGCATAGAGAGGAAGTTTCAATACTCGTCAACGCTAAAGAGCGCCAAAGCCTCACAAGGTCATTCATTCCATGTATTATACTCTTGCCAAGCTCAAGTGATGGTTTCCAAAACCCTTGTTGTTCCCCTTCTCCACCTCCCTGAAGTGAAGTGGGCATCCGTCCGTCCTGTCACCCTGTACATATATCCCGTATCTCGTCACACCGTTTTATTTGCACCAGCCCTAAGTCCAGCTTTTGGAAAAACTCAAGCGCGACTCGGTTGATTGAACGACGACGGCTTACACAAAGGTGCCAGACAGCATGCTGTCCAGAGTGCCAGATAATTCGCCGGCACCTCCCATGGACGTGGCGCCACTGTCATAAAGGGAAAAGAAGGAATTGAACGAATTGAAGAGACCTGGCGAATTCGAGATCATGGCATCATTTTGTATGCCGGTCAGGAACGGATCTTGCTCAAGGCTTCTGCTGGCTTGGACATGATAGCTGGCCGACTGACTGTCTGGTGCAAAGGTTGTGCTCGGTATCGGGCCGGCTGCGTTCTGGTCCGAACGCCTCGGGTCACGCAATATGGACCGACCATTCTCTGAAGATGGGGTGTGTACGCGCTGTGTCATGATCGTGGCGGCGTTGTTGTTGTTCCGGTGGTGGACTTCATGAGAAGATTCGTGCAACGCCGCAGTGCCCGCCTGATCAGGTGCATTGTCTCGAGCAGATATCGGGGGCGTGAGCGTCTGTGAAGGGATTTCACGATTGGAAGAAGCGGGCCGCGCTTGAGAGGGACGACGTCGACTGGCGTCTATGCCAGGCCCACGCCACTGATGCGGACCATCATAAGGGATATGTCCTCCAAAGTTTGACAATGGTGCTACAGATGGCCGTGGTGACAGTTCCACGTCTCTTTCGATGGACCTCGTCTTGCGCGCGCTGTCCCGAGTGTTATTCAGCTCGACTTCTAGCGCAGAGAGGTTCTTCTCCAGCATGCTTGATATGCCCCAGTAGCTTTCGAACTGGAGGTATGTCATCCGGAGCAACTCCGCATTGGATGCCGTCAATTGCTTTTCCGAGTTGTCGGTTTGTAACAATTCGCGCTTCAGAATCTGAACCGCAGTCGCAAGCCATATTGTGTTGGCCAAAAATGGATTCACAAACTTGTAGTGGTCCCTGGGAGTCCGCTGGATGATATTGACAACACTCTGAGATGCCTGGAGATACAGGACAAAGCACTGTCTCGCGGCATTGTTAGGTGCCGTGCTACCAAATTGTCTCTGCGGTGCAAGTCCGCTCTCGGCATGTTCCTTGAATTTGGCGAGTTCTGTCTCGAGGTGGATCCAGCTCATTTGACCTCGAAAGACAAAGTATTTGTAGATCATTAGCCGGGCTAGCTGCACCACCATATGCATGGTGTAAATTTCTTGGTGTAGTAGGCGTGTCGACGTGGCAGGGGACTCGGAATCCCGAGGAGAGAAATTGAGAAATTGATTCCGGTATCGAAGCTCGGCAGGCATCATTTCGACGACGCATTCCAGCACGTTGTGAAGAGTGCTGACCTTGTTATAGCCTTCACGCGCTTCTCGGACTCGACGATTCTGGTCCAGTTGGAACTGCGTTGGGTCGGAGTACTTGGCCTGTCGGGATTTCTCGAGAGCTTTGATCGGGTGAAGATGATTGTCGTCCCCTTGGGTCACATTCTGCGCGTCCTTGACGATGCTGTCAACCACAAGGAACCACGCTTTGTACGACTTGTTCCCTGATGATCTCAACTTCTTCCATCGGTGGACGATGTCCAGGTCCAGGTAGCAGCTTTCTTGTGGCTCGTTCAAAAACCAGTTCTTGTCGGGCGCCGGGAGAAATGTGTCGTTGCAAGACCAGTCAATGCCCGTGGGACAGCGGCGCACTACGCTTGCAAAAACGTCCATCTCCCATATTGCCCACCATGCCCGCCGCTTTTCTTCATCGTCACGCCATTGGTCGACGTCCTCGATCTTGTCGTGCGGTTCTACGCCTTTGTCGACCGCGTGGAGATTCATTTCGTAGGCGCAGCGAATACAAACGCCCAAATATCGCCACGACTTTCCTCGAACTGACCTGATCAGCTGCCAATGGTTGATCAGAATCATGGCTTGCAGAAGCGACAATGGCACTCCTTGTTCGCTATACTCGAGCATGGCTCGTTCAACAAACTGCTCGGCCAAATTTCCAAAGTGTTGGGACAAGTCCTTGGTCGAATCGAGGTTGATGAGGGCCGCTGCCGCCGCTATACAGGGGTCGTGGCCGGCGTCCTGATCTCGGAAGGCGAAGATGAGGATTGCGGCGACAAGAGCGTTAAGCTCGTTTTTGCTCTTGATCTGTTGCAGCTTGTCCCAAAAGGTGGGGCGGTGGAAGAGCTGGAAAGATGGGAAGGTGTCGAAAAATTCGTCGACCCTGGGTATTTCAACATTAGAAACGATACCTTGACGTGCGCACGAGAACAGGAGGAGCTTACAGCGTCTGCAAATCATCCTGCGCTAGACCGAGCGCGTGGCAGGTGGACTCGAGGGTCGATTGCCCGCTTAAGCTGTCATCCACGACGACTTTGGGGTCAGTCAATGAATCCTCGGCCAGTCGTTCGTGCGAGGGGTGCATGATAAACGAGAGCGACTGGATATCGTGTGAACGCCGAGACAATCCGCTTGACACTGAAGTCGACGGCGATGAAGCTTGATAGAGTGTGGCCGCCAATGGCATCCCCGATGGTTGAGGAAGAGGCAGCATGTGCGATGGCATTGATGTGCGACGAGGCTGCAGCTCTGGTTGATGGGATTGCGCATGCAACACGGATGAAGGGGAATTCGGCTGTTGCGACGTTTGCGGTTGTGGTTGTGGTAGCAGGCGCGTCTGCTGGTGTTCTGATGGCGGTGTCAGTCGGAGAGCTGGTTGCTGGGCATGTTTCTCCTGAGCGTGTCCAGACTGTTCGGGCTGCGTAGCCTGGCCACCATGCATCCTGTCCGTCGCAGACTCTTGTTCCTGCTGCTCCTCAACAATCGAACCATGTTTGCGCTTTCGCGCCTGCTGAGTGCTTCCGATTTTTGGGCCTGGCCGAGTTGAACTGGCGGGATATTCGCAGGCCTGATTTGTTTGCAGACAAATTCCGCACTGAGGGATTTCCCGCGTACACTTGACCTTTCTCCGCCGGCACGAGCAGCATGCAATGTTCGATACAGAAGACCCTGAGCCCGCGGTGGTTCCGTATGTAGGGAATGAGGCCATGGTGTGGCATCCAAGGGAAGAGGCTGCACTGTGTGTATAGTATGGTCAAATCGATGAGATGATTTGAAAGAAAGGAGAACTGCACGAGAATCAGCGCTAGAATCTGTGGGGGGGCGTGTTGAAGTGGCACATCTTGAGCGATCGCTGGGGTCCCCAGCTTTCCAATCTCAGATTCTCTCTCTCTCTCTGACACCGGGGGTCATTCCGGGCCAGACGGCAAAAGATGGCGGGGTATAGATGCATGGTGGATTCTGGCCGACTCGACCAATCTGGGATGCGGCAGACGATGGGAGATGGAGCGCAGGCGAACAGGGGACAGAATTAATTACATCTTGTCGACGCTCATTGGCGGAAAGACTTCGCTCCAACTTCGGCCCTAGTAGACGTAGGCAGTCAGGCAGTCACCAGCGCCTTGTCCTTCCCGCTCTTTCCATTTGCTCTCTTTCTTGATCAGATGGGGAATTGGCTTGATTATTGGAGCTGTCGAATCTTTCTTCTGAGGGAGTGGATCTTTGCTTCGTGAACCCAGATGGCGGGACGAATTTCGGCACTCTTTCTAGCATCTTTGTTTAGACCATGGGTAATGAATGGTACGGCTGTTGTTCTGTACTCTTTGACTAGGATTTCAATACCGACATGTGCACATCTTGGTGGAGTCCATGGCATGGGATCGACACAGGGACGAGATAAACCACTTTGTAGCCTTCCCTCGGAACTTGAGGTTGATATACAAGTTTCCACTTACATCTCTATATTACGTTGAATTCTTACACAAACAGAGTGAAACCCCTTCATAAACATAAGCAGAAACCTCTCTGAAAAATCTAACAAACAAACAACAAAAATGCCTGGCAAAACGATGAGGGCTTTCCGCCTGGTGGAATACGGTAAACCCGGGCAGTACTGTGAAGTGCCGATTCCCTCACCTAAAGAGGGAGAAGTACTCATCCGGATGAAAGCCGCGGGCCTCTGTCGGTCAGACCTCGACATGGTCGACTCGTTACCGGGCTCAGATCCATATGCGTCAGCTGTCGATGCTCCCTACACGTTGGGGCATGAGAACGCCGGGGTAATTGAGGTGCTGGGAGAGGGTGTGACCGACTTGAAGGTGGGCGAGGGGGTCGCCGTCCGCCACATGCCGCACTGCTCGCACTGCGAATTTTGCATCCGGGGCGTCGAGCAACACTGCCAAACATACAAGCGTGGAGCGATTGAGATAACCCGGGGCGCTGGCTTCGACGGCGGTCTGGCAGAGTTTATGATCTGCCCCCGCGACCAGCTCGTGAGCATTGGTGACGAGGATCCCGTCAAGTACGCGCCACTGACCGACGCCGGGGTGACGGCATACCACGCTGTGGGGACGATCAAGGAACGTCTGCGCCCAGGATCATCGGCGCTGGTCATCGGGTGTGGAGGACTGGGATCGTACGCACTCCAGTTTCTTCTGCTGTTAATGGGGGTCAAGGTGTACGGGGTCGATGCCAACGAGAGCCGCATCCAGATTGCTCGAGATCTGGGAGCCAAACGTGTGTTCAAGGCTGGGCCGCATGCCACCCAGGAAATTCTGGATGAAACGGGCGGCAAGGGAATCGACGCTATTCTCGACTTTGTGGGAAATAACTCGACGTTGAAGATGTCCATGGAACTGTCCAGGCCACAGGGTCGAGTGGTGCTGGTGGGCATGGACATGGGCTCGGTCGAGGTTGGGTGGAACAAGATCGCCACGAGCTGCGAGTTTGCAATCGGCTTAGGATCGACACGCAGAGATCTGGAGGAGGTGTGCTATCTTGCTTCGATCGGCAAGCTCAGGATCGACGTCGACCGCTTCTCATTCGACAAGATTCCGGAGGCGTACCAGGCACTGCGAGATGGGAGACTGATTGGTCGAGCTGTCATCACGTTTGACTAGTACATGACATGATCCGTGACATGAAACATGTGGCTGTGTAGTGTAGTTGTAGCGGCGAGAAGAGAACTACATGGCGCAAATACTAGGAAAAGGAGTTGTCTCAGATACTGACGGGCTCAAGGATCTACTATTGGGTATAGTCATTGAACACGCCGTGTACAGTGTCATGCTTGAGAAGTCATCTCCATCTCATTGTCTTCTGCACCTCCTCAACCTGCCCTGTAGAAACCGCATGCCGAATACCCGCCGTCGACTGTCCACCGTGCTGTGGCCGTCATCAGTAATGGTCCAAGTAGAAAAAGAAAAGTATTCCTCACCACCCGTCACATACGAGGCATCATCGCTCAGCAAGAAGGCAATGACTTTGGCCACTTCTTCTGCTCGACCCATACGGCCCATCAAAGTGCCGGCACTCACGACATCGGCATTGAAAAGTCCCTTTGCTTCACCTTCACGAAAGATCTTGGTGTCGATAGGGCCTCTGCGACACATGGTTATTAGACTTGTCTTGCACGATTGGGGACACAAAGACGAGGCACATACGGTAGAACTGCATTGACTCTGATTCCCTGCTTGCCGTATTCCGCCGCCGTAGATTCGGTCAAGCCGAGTACACCAAACTTGCTCGCTGCGTATGCTGCATTGTTGGGTAGACCTCGCAGGCCCGAAGTACTCGAAACGTTGACGATGGACCCTCCTGGCCTGGTAAGATGCGGGAGTTCGGCCCTCATACAGACCATCACGCCGGTGAGGTTGACCGCCAACATTTTGTCCCATGCTGCTTGGTCCTGTCCGACACGTTAGTATAGCAATCAAGGCTTCGCAAGAGATTCATTAAACGTACAATGGACTCGGTGCTTTGACCGTCCCCACCTGCAATACCTGCAATGTTTGCTGCTCCATCAAGCCTTTCGAAGCGCTTTACTGTGTCCTTGAGCCACGAGTCAACCTGTTCGGCATTGCTGGCATCGACTCTGGTGGTCGTGACTTCTGCTGCTGAGTATTGGCTACCTTGACGCTCGTCAATCAGCAATGCAAAAACACCACGGGGTGAGCATACAAGAGCATACATAACTTTTGCGTCTCGATCAGGCCAGGCTGGTCTAGGTCACTGATGGCGATGCCAATGGCCCCCAGTTCTGCGAGCCGGATGGCGGTGGCTCTTCCAATTCCTGAACCAGCGCCAGTGACGGCAAACACTTTGCCTTGTATCCCCATTGTACCCAATCTAGATGTGTATTATGGTGTTGAACGAAAGCTCTGTCCATCAAAAATATTAGTGTCTGAAATAAAACATGGTATGCCAAACCTATGCCCCTTAGGCTGTCGGCCACCAACTGAAACTCGAGACCAACCCCCATACTCGGCAGAGTTTGTCCGAATCGAATTCTCAAAAGTCGAGAAGCAGGACCGAGTCAGGGACGGCAGTTCAAGCTTTGAGAATCCTTGTGTGGAGGACCGAAATTTCGAGTCGGAATGACTTCGGTCGTTGACATGTATGTACCCAGTGCGAGTATGTGGTTCGGGAGACGCACAATTGGGAACTTCTCGTCTCATCCCCCATGCGTGCGCCTCGGCTCGAAAACCAATCTCCAAGTCGTCGTGGAAGATATATTGAATTATGAGACCGCGTGGTTGGAAAAGTGAAAACTAGGGAAAAAGCCACAGTCACATTCACACCTTGTCAACCAACCCAAAAACCCCATTGTCCTCGAAAAATCCATTCGGCCATGGCTGACCAAAGTGACATGATAGCACGACTCGAAAGCCGCCTCAAGATCCTCGAGGACAGGCAGCAGCTCCAAACACTTCTCAATCGATACTGTACAATTGCCGACGCCAAAGACTGGAAGGGCTACGCCGATACATACATTGACGATGGTGCCATCATGACCTTCGAGTCCTGGGGCGACGTCGTCGGCAAGGAAAACATTGCCAAAACAGCCAGCGCCGAACAGGTCTTCGACGGACTGCAGCACACCATGACCAATATGGAGTTTGCGGTGGATGGTTCAGACCGGGCAACGGGGACCGCATATCTCTGGTTCTGTGCGACTCCCGACACATCAAAGCCGGAAATCCACTACGCCTTTGGCGGGCCTTATCGATTCGAGTTCCAACGGACGGCAAAGGGGTGGAGGATTTCACACATGTGGTTGAAGAAGATCTGGGCCCAGGGCAAAGATACGAAAGGAGTCTTTGGTGCGACATAACAGAAGCCGGAGGGAGGAGGTCGAGTCAAACATATCTAGGTATACAAAATTCTATCGATACCATCCTGACTAGTGTTTTTTTGGGCCAATGATATACCGTGTGCACAAATATATAAAATATATACATAGTAATTCCGCTGCGTATCTTCGGCCAGGTTCTTTCGGGGTGGAGAGCCACTTCACTTCGGGGAACATGGCGCCCTATTATTGCGCGTCGTAGTGAGTTTGTCCGGACAGTTGATTCTGATACAATGCCAACTTGGCAAAACTACAAAAGACCTCTTCAGAGCTCGAGATACTATCAAGTTCTCGGTATAAAGGGCTGTTTCTTCCGGCAACTTTCGACGACCAACTAGATACCCCAAGACTGGTCATGTCGTCTAATTCCGGATTACTCGAGGGTCAGGTCGGATTGATCACTGGAGCTGGAACTCCCTATGGGATCGGGAGAGAATGTGTCAAGAAGTTTGCCTCGGCGGGAGCCAGAGCCATCTACGCGTGCGACTTGAACCTCAGTGCCGTCGAGTCCCTACGGGAAGAATGCAAAAAGGCCGGATACACGTCAATGATCCAGGGAAAACAGCTCGACGTGTCGAGCGAGGAGCAGACCGTGGCTGTCGTCAAGGACATCACCAAGACTCACGGTCGCTTTGATTTCTACATTGCGAATGCTGGCTTTGCCAACTACCGGTAATGAGTACTCAGGTCACTTTTCGCAGCAGCATCACTGATCCATTTCTTTTCTGCCCTCCTAGGAGCCTTAACGACACCGAGATGACTCACTACGATCGTCAAGTCAATGTCATGACCCGTGGAGCTTTTCTCGGTATCAAATATGGCAGTCAAGCTATGATGCTGACATCCAAGGAAAAGCCTCGGCCAGGAGGTGTCTTTGTCGTCACCGGTTCGTGTGCTGGGTTTCTCGGCTCATATAGCGATTTACCATACGGTGAGTGAAAATGCGGCAGATGGGATTTTGTGAATGGGCATCTGACTGCAATGCACCTGTGATAGCCATCGCCAAAACTGCCTTGCACGGTCTGGTCAGCGCTGCTTCGGTTCAATTGTCATCGAGTAACATTCGTGTAAATGGGGTGGCTCCGGGCTTCACCAAGAGTGGCATCTTGACCAATTCTCAAAAGGCCGAGCAAGGTGAATACCAGAGCGGAGAGGACGAGGAGCAACTGAAGCAGAATCACATGTGGTTTTTTGACCGAGCAGGGCTGTTGAAGAAGCCCGAGTACTATTACAACCGACTTCAAGATCCAGATGAGATTGCCAATGTGCAATTGTTCTTGGCTTCAGGACTGTCTTCATCCATCAACGGTCAGATGATTCTATGCGACAGTGGCAAGACTGCGGCCGCGACTGGGGAAGCATGTACTGGACCTGTGGACCCAGTCCGTCCATTGGACTTGTCGTGAGATGGCAACGACTCGAGGGAGTCAATCCTCGCATAGTACTTGTAGTAGGGTCAGTCAATGAAAGCACTCCGGACTATCTCCGCTCTCGTGTAAATTCGACCGAGCCCACTTTCCTTCCCAGTCGCTGGCGTGCAGATATAACTATTCCCAGGTCTACCCCTTCGGACAAGCTCAAACAGGGTCATCTCGGATCAAAAAGACATTTGCGTCACGGTCAAATTGCCATCATCATGACTGGTTATTTGCGTCTAGCCATCGCTGCAGTCCTCGTTCTCGGGGTATGGAGGTTGCTAAGAATCGGTCGACGAGACCGTAGACTTCCGCCAGGACCACCGACTGTACCGATCCTGGGAAATGCTCATCAAATCCCACTGACAGGTTTGGGCAAGAAGTTCGTTGCACCGATAACATACGACATGAATTTCAGCTAGATAGCTAACATGGCTAACACACTACTGTCCCCCCTCAGGTTCCACGAATGGGCTCAAGAATATGGCAAAATATACTCGCTCAAAGTCTTCAACTCGACCATGATCGTTTTGGCAGATCGCAAGGCCATCTACTCGCTTCTCGACCAGAAAGGCAGCATCTACTCGGAAAGACCATACCTCGCCGTACCGACATTCATGAGTCGAGGATGCCACATGACCTTTGAGCAAGCCACCCCTGGCTGGAGAGAAAAACGCTCCGTCATTACCAGAAACCTCAATCCTCAGAATCTCGACAAGAAGCATTTCAAAGTTCAAGAGGCAGAGTATGATTATGGTGGTGGTTTGGACCTGAGAAATGTAGTCGACTGATCAGCCACCCCTAGGTCAATTTTGTTCATGCACAACCTCGTCCAACATCCGAACCAGGCGTTCGACTACGCTCGTCTCTACGCCTCATCCGTGGCGGCCATCCTGGCTTGGGGATTCCGGGCCAAAGATTTCGACTCGTTCTTTTACAAGGACTTTTATTCGTTCGTTGATCAGGTAAGGGGCATATCACTTTTGAACGAGACCTATTCACACGAGTTGACGCCTTTTTTTTTTAGTGGCTTGACGCTATAGAGCCTGGTGCAAACCCCCCGGTCGAACAGCTGCCCTTTCTGTGGTACCTTCCTGGAAAGTGGAAAAAGAGGGCGATTCACGTCAGGGGGCTGATGGACTCGACGTGGTCCAGGGCGCGGCAGATGGTAGAGGATCGGCGTCAAAGAGGAGACATTCGTGACTCGATGATCGATGTCAAGCTGGCGCAGTACGAGAAGGACGGATGGCCCATGTCGCAGTACGCGTTCAACAACTTGTTTGGTGAATTACTCGAGGCTGGAGCAGACAGTGCGTTCTCCGTTTTCAAATAGGAGATTGGGACTGTGAGCTGACAATACCGCAACAATTAGCTACCGCAAACATGCTTTTGACAATCATCCTGGCCGTGACCAAGTTTCCCGAGGTTCAAATCAAGGCAAGAAAAGAACTGGATGCGGTTTGTGGGACCGAGCGAACACCACTGTTTTCCGACTTTGACAAATTACCCTATATCAACTGCATCATCAAAGAGGCCCTCAGATGGCGCCCAACGTCAGTCTTTTCTCTCCATCATGATGAGTCGATGCCTCTAGCCAAGGTACCGAGTACTAACGTTCCCTGCGCGACAGATCTGATCTTGGAATTCCGCATCGACTGGCCAAAGGTGAGTAGCAAAGGAAGTCACCGCACGAGAAACATCAATACTCATGTCTTTCAGACGACTGGTACGAGGGCATGTTTTTCCCCAAAGACAGCACGGTCTGGCTCGCCGCTTGGGCCATTCACCAGAGTGACGACGAGTTTCCTGACCATGACCGTTTCAATCCGGATCGATTCAAAAACCACACAAAGTTGGCAAGTGACTACGCCGTGGGCCCTGACTGGCAAGGACGAGATAAGTTTTATCGTCTCTCAGCTGTTCTTTCCGACCCGGCTAACCCTTTCAAGTTTACACCACTACGGATATGGAGCAGGTCGCCGCATGTGTCCGGGCATTCACCTGGCTGAACGAAGTATGTGGCGTGTCACGGCCAAATTACTCTGGGCTTTCGAGTTCGAAGAGATCCCCGAGAAGCCACTCGACGTCAACGCCTACACCTCGTCGAATCTGGTGCGGCCTTTGGAGTTTGAAGTGTCGGTCAAGCCTCGGAGTGAAGTCCACGGCGAGGTGATTAGACGGGAGCTGACTGGTGCATTGGACTTTTTGAGTCAATACGACTAGTGTTTCGCCGATGGTGAGTAGCGTCAGAGTACACTGTAGGCGGAGGGGTTAGCTTCGAACAATTTTCATGTCAAGACATACGAAATTCTAGACGTTCGGACTCAACAGAGAGTGACTGCCGTGACGTTTTCCCCGGACCGGACCATCTTCGGTGTCCAGCATCACTGGCTCCACAAGTCCACTATTGACCCCAAGTTTCTTCAGGTATAGCGTCGCTAATCTGCCCAAGAAACATCTATTAGCGAACGAATATCCATGACATGAAAGGCGACACAGAGAAGTAGTCCAAAGGCCCTTTTGGTTCTCGTTCAAAGGTCTGTATCACGGGAAATCATGTCAGTACAGGGCAAAGTAGCGATTGTCACGGGCGCGGGTCTTGGCCTAGGTCGACTGTACGCCCTCGCCCTGGCGGCCAGGGGAGCCAAAGTGCTGGTGAACGACTACGGCGGCGACCTTCAAGGACAAGCCGGAGCCATCACTCGAGCACAAGCCGTGGTGGACGAGATCACGGCTGCCGGCGGCGTCGCCGTCGCGCACAACGGCGACGTGTCCAAAGACGCCAAAGACATTGTCCAGACGGCCGTCAAGGAATTCGGCGGGGTGCACATCCTGATCAACAACGCGGGCATCACGGGCAAAATGAGCTCGCACGACGACGTCGACGCGGCCGCGTTCATGCGCGTCCTGGAGATTTCAGTCCTCGGCACGACCATGGTCACCAGCGCGGCGTATTCGGTCATGGCGAAACAGCGATACGGCAGGATCGTGAACGTGTCGTCGAATGCGATCTACGGCTTCGGCGCAGGGGGGGACTGCGCGTACGGCGCGTCCAAGGGTGCCGTCTTTGCAATCACGCGGGAACTGGGCAGGTGGTCGGAGAGAGACGGGATCAAGATCAACTGTGTCATGCCGTCGGCGGCGTCTCGCATGGGAGATTTGTCCGAAGGCACCAAGAAGATCACTCGCACATACTTTCCTCCCGAGGTTCGTCATCTTCTCTTTCATTCTTCCCTCGGAGACAGAAACCGCCATACTGACTACCACTTACCCAAAAAAAAATAGGGTGTCGTCCCGTTCGTCATCGCTCTCTGCTCAGATGAGTGCCCATCATCCGGCGAGGTCTTCTCCGCCAGCGCCAACCGGGCCGCACGCGAGACGCTGGCGACTTTTCCTGGCAAAATCTCCGAAACCCCCGAGGGTTTCCTCGCGGACTGGGACAAGGTCTGCGGCAAGGACGAGACTCCCTTCTTGGCCAGCAGCACCCTGGATCAAGTCAAGTACATCATTCGATTGGCGCATGGGAAGGAGATGGAGGATATTCCAGAGTTTGGAATTGCCGGGAAGTGAAGTAGATGAGGGGAGGTTCAATATATCCGCGGATTAGCCAAAATTAATCCGGGTCCTGACGTCCTAGACCTGCCTCGGTAGATGGGGCATTTTCTACTTAATTCGACACAAGATCGTGAAGGGTGATAGTGATAGTTCAGATTGGCGGGTAGAGTGCCCCCTTCCACACTGGAAGCGTGATACCGGTGACAAAGGATGCAGCATATGAGGTCAGCGACAAGCTCCCATGGACAGCCTCGTGAGGAGCCGCCCATCGCTTGACTTTCGTGGAGGGATACAAGGCGTTCTTAAAACGAGGTGAGTTGGCAGAAAAGGGCAACGAACGACCAATTCGGTCAATCCAGGCGCCTGTTCTGTCCGACATATACAAATCAACCCCCGGTGGCTACCAAGTACTTGCTGGGGGTACTAGAATCAAGTTTACGCCATTGGCTACAGTCAGTCAGTCAGAGCTCACGACCGTCAAGACCTCACGACCGTCAAGACCTCACGACCGTCAAGACCTCACGACCGTCAAGACCTCACGACCGTCAAGACCTCACGACCGTCAAGACCTCACGCACTGGATGGATCACAATCCCATAATACGGCGGCCACTCGTCCGGCAGACGCTTCAGAGGCTTTTGCTGCCGGTGTGGCCCATGCTGTCTGTGCACACTCCGGACACAGGGATGGACCACTGGAAGCCCCAAGGCTGGCATGCATTCTTCGCACAGACTTCGGTACGCTTCCACAGGTGTTATTGTACGCCGATGCGGATACGAATGGGGATGGGTATGGGGGTAAAGCCATGACCATCACGGGCCTCGGAAAAGCAAGGGGGTCAACTGGGAGATTTACCGCCGTTGGCGAAGAGAACGATTCACCCTTTTTTCTATTCATATGGATGGATGGATGGTCCAAAGCGGAGGTACTCCGGATGGAGTAAGACTTGGCAACTATTGCTGCGGCCCCACAGGTTGTTTTGCCGAAAGCGGCTACGCTAGTCACGTGAAAAAATGGGGAAGACGCCGAGACGTCTATGGCGATTGGGCGAAGATCAGGGAGGGGTCGAAGATGATGGTTGGTCGCATTGCTAGTTCTGGCATGCTCACTTCGTTGCTCGGTGAAGCCACAGTTTGATCAATGGGCCATGTAAAGCTTTTCTCAGGTCCCGGCGTAGCATTGTGTGCTGTTGAGAATGAGACATGAGACAACGATGTACATTTGACAACACAATATAGATAGACATGGCGCAGGTGTAGAGATTGATCGCAACTTGAGAAGTTTGTCTGGTTCACAAAAGCTGAATTCGGGTGCGATATGTAAATGATATAGAGTCTAAAAAAGCCATGACTGTACTGGTATATGACCATTCAGTGTTGTAGTGTTCCTTGCGCTGAGTTGAGAAGATGCCATCTTGCTCAGAGCGCATCGCCGAGGTTTCAGTGGTGCATTTGTAGAGGTTTCAGATGCCATTCCTTCGAATTGGTTGAACTTGTGCAGATCTACATGTCTGCTGGGGATCCTTTTGCCTGAACCGCAATCTCTTCTGGTGTCGCCGTCTCTGCATGGGTTATACCATTGCCATGTTTCAGTTCTTCTTCCATCGCGTGTTCAAAGTCCAGGGCCACAGTATCACCGAACAAACCACCAAGATCCTCCAGCGAGATTCCAGAAGTCTAGGGTAACATTCAGTAAGGTCTGCCATCGTGTGCGAAGAAAGGGGAGAGACTCACCTCCGGCAGGTAGAACATGCACGGGACAACCAGAGCGACTGTCACGGCAATGAAAACCATGTAGTATTTCCATCCAATCGACGCAAATGCCTGGGCAGCTGGTGCCGTGGACCAGATGGAAAAGATGTAGAAGCCGAAGTAGGAGATGGCAGATCCTTTACTTCGGAGGTGTGTTGGCCAGATTTCACAGCCATAGACATAGCCAGTGCACTCCAGTGTGGAAGTAAACCACCATGCCATGATAAAGTAGATTGCTACTGCAGCCTTTGTACCGGCTAGATTACTGCCATCAAGGTAGTGCGCCTGTAACGCGGCTTCACAGGCGAGCAGAATTGCCATGCCCCATCCGCCAGCGACTGGTTGGAGTTAGCAATCCATGTCCCATTTTCTGTTGGTGAGATACATTTCTTACCGATCAATTTCACTCTGCCAATGCGATCGACAAGGAAAATGTTGAAAAAGCAGCCGATAAACAGGCAAACAGTCCACACCAGGCTGAGGGCGAGCTGAAGGACGGTGCCGTAGCCCAGAGCGCCAAAAAGCTGTGGTGTCAGGTTGGCCAGCACAGTGATACCTGTCGATTGCGCCATGGTCCAGACCAGAAGAGTGCAGATGAGGCGTTTCCTGAGAGATGGGCTCCGGAGAATGTGCAACCAGCTGCTGGGCAAGGTCTGGTCAACCTGAACCTGTGCGATGATCTGGTGCAACTCGGCATGAGCAACGGTGCCATCAGGGTCGTCTGCCGTCTTGTGTATACTGTCGAGGATTGCGCCAGCCTCTTCAGGCCGGCCGTGCTCCACGAGCCACCGGGGAGACTCCGGTAGGGTGATCAAAGATGCCAGTAGTGCAAGAGCAACGGCCGTGGCAATAACAAAGTTAAGCCTCCATTGGTAGTCTGTTTCGACAAAGTGGAAGCCCAGAGCGGCGGTGGAGGAAAGGATATACCCGAAGACGATAAAATTGCCCTGGAGGCCAACGAGCAAACCACGGCTGTGTGCAGGGGATATCTCACTGATATACACTGGGGTATTGCTGATGACCATTCCAGCTCCAAACCCAGCAGTGTACCTGCCGACCAAGAACATGGCGATGTGCACCGCACCGGCTTGAAGGGCATTTCCCAAAATGAGAAAGCAGGCCGCAACTGCGGTTGCGCGTTTCCGGCCCCAACGATTGGAGATGGGCGCTTGCAGAAAACCACCGATGAGCGCAGCTCCAAAGAACCTGTTCCAAGCAAGCCTGTTAGAAAAAAACGTGGCCTCGCGCACAGAAAGGAGATAATCACCCCGAGACGATTGCGTCAATGAGCGAGGTAGCATTAGACCCGGTCAGGAACTTTGCGAGAAACGAAACCTGTGCCAAAGATCCGGCGATGACATTGTTTGAATAGCCATAGTTGAAGCTGGCCAAGGTCGCGGCAATGATGAGCTATCCCAGGGGGTCAGAAAGCCTTCTTCGCACTACTTGCGACAAACAACCTACCAGGATGTTCTTCCTACTCGTGTGGCCTTTGAGCCCTCGGACATCAAGATGACCAGTCATTGTGGTTCCAGGAGAGGATTGTGCTGATAGAGACTTCGACTTCTGGGAAAGGGGAGGAGGAAGAACGAGGCACTTCTGGCGTCAAACTGAGAGATTCCCCTGGTCAAGGAGGACACGAGTTATATGTCTGTTTTGCGTCAATTATGGACGGCCTTGATGTGGGTTTGGCGGCCCCGTCTCCAGGAAATCCCCCACAAGGTAGACGGCTCCTCCGGACCCTGATTCGGCTAGTCTGGATGTAGATCTATAGCGGTCGGACCCCAGTCCTGGAGAATCTAAATCGGACTAGGGCAGACTTGGTGCGAAGATAGTCCGTGAGTTCTACTCGGTACACTGTCAGGACGAGGAAGGTAAATGCAACTCTCGTCCAATTTCCCAAGTGTCAAACATGACAATGTGACGTGAACAGCCCTCATGGGACCATTAGGGAATTAGTGATTGCACCTTACAATTACAGCCATGACGAATCTCGAAGTCTCTCCGATATCGTAATGAGAACCACCGCTCGAGCGTATGATGCCCCTCTGCCGCCTCTACAGCTGGCAGTGACAAATGTTCCTCTAAATGCTGATTCGAATGAGCCCGAAAGAAAGAAGTACTATAGGCCTGGCAACTTGCATTGTATCTGTCTACCTAGACTGGTCCAATTGGTGGCTGCTGGTCAATATGGCCGTTGAATGCTTGCGATCGATGAATCTTTGACTTCTCGTTTGTAGGGGCCGCATCGTCCAAGATTTGTTTGAACAAGTCAGAAGATTGGAACGTTTCCCAATCTTGCTTGCTTCTCGATCTACGTCCGAGTTAGAACTCTTAACCTCGTCTCGTCTGGTCTCCCATTACGATGAGTTGTACTGACCTGATATAGAGGCTCGCCATGTTCACGTCGAGACATTCCTTCAAGACCGCAAAACTTTGGATGGTGATATTGGGACTGTTCTCTGAGGCACGAACTCGGTCGGCTCCCCCGGACAAGGCGCCCAGAAGCTGCTTGCGACGGCCTGCCGGCGACCAAAAGTGTATAACCACAACAAAACTGTCTTTGGCATCCTTGTCCTTGTCATCTGGGCGACTCAAGAACCCATAATACATGTCGTAGTAATGTAAGTCGTAATCCGGGCTCCCTAGCCCCTGAACATGTCGAAGAAGTTTGTCTTCGTCCACCTTCTTCATCTCTCGCTTGAAAACTTCAGACGCTGGGTGACGGATGAAGAACCCGATGGGGTGAGCATACCCTTCCAGACCCCATAGAGTATCTGGTTCTCCGTCGACATCCTGACCCCAGTAGTAGGATGTTGAGTATGGCTCCGTGGCAGAAACCTCGCAAAGCGGCACCAGTCTCTCTTTCCACTATGGTGAAGCAAAAACTGTCAATGGATCATTCTAGTACTGGTCGTTAGGGGCAGGTACCTTTGGAAATGCACCGTCTGACCCGACGACACGGGCTAGGACAAAGAAATCAGGCATGTTCTATGGTTATCCAAATCTACTGTGGCATTAAAAGATAGGACGCAATAAAAACCTGTGTTTCAAATACTTTATTTGGAGATCCGAGCTGCTACAATGGTCTTGGTGATTTTCCGCTCGTAACTATCCCGTCGCCCGCCAAGTTTCCTTCAATGGTGCTTTCGTCATACGTTGTCGGCTTTCCTTATGGTTCAGCGATTTGACCGGCACAAGATTTGTGCACAACAAGTGGCTCAGCGCGAAGATGGCCCGAAGTATGGCGAGATCGGCCTCCAATAGGATTCGCATTCTCGAATACAAGTATGTCGAGCAACAGCGTCAAGCTCCTATTAATTTATACGCATCACAAGGGCCCATTGCCATTGAGACCTGAAGAGTCTAAGCACCTTTGAAAATCACCTCGAGGATTTATCAAAATAGACACTCCTTTCTACACTTCCCATCACCATGGCTACTCTAAGTAGTGCTCAGGCGATGCTTCCAACATCCATCTCTGGGGCGGCCTTGGTGGCATTGTGCATCTGGATCATCTATCGGATTTCTCGAATCGGGGCACGAGACAAAAGACTGCCGCCAGGCCCACCCACTGTTCCTATCCTTGGAAATCTACACCTGGTTCCGCGGACTGGCATGGGACTCAAGTATGTTCAATCAGACAAGCAGCTCCGTGACGAGTGAAAAAAGGACACAAGCTAATTAGATGTATTGCCAGGCTGAAGGAATGGGGAGAAACCTATGGCGGGGTCTATTCTCTCAAATTCGGCAGCGGTACCGTGATAGTACTGTTCGATCGAAAGGCAGTCCATCATCTCCTGGACAAGAAGGGAGTCTTGTACTCTGAGCGACCACAGAGCTATGTCCCGTCACTCGTTACGGGCGGGGATAGCTTTGCATTCATGAATAGCACCCCTCTGTGGAGAGCAGAACGGAAAGTGGCTGTTCACAACTTGTCGGTCAGTATCTGACATGTAACGCTGGTGAGAAACGGGGCTCTGGCTGATGATGATCTGTGTTTAGCCCAAGATGCTCGAGGAGAAAGTCAGCCATATCCAAGATGCAGAGTACGTTTTTTGTACTCCTAAGCAAGTCTCGTCTGACTGTAATCTAGGTCTGTTGTGCTCCTTGCCAACATGCTCGATCGTCCAGAAGAGTATTACACTCACATCAAGCGCACAACGTCTTCGGTTGCCAGCGCAGTGGTTTGGGGACATCGTGGTCCTACGATGGACAATTTCTGGGCCCGAGTAAGATACGACCGAATCTTTTCAATATTGCAGGCTAAATGAAACAATGCAGGCCGTGTACGACGCAATGGACAACTACTCGGCGTCACTGGAGCCTGGGGCTAATCCGCCGGTCGACGAGTTCCCATTCCTGAAATACATACCTGAGAGATTCGCCAAGTGGAAGAGACGCGCCCTCGGGTCTTATAAATGTATGGACGACACTTGGGCAGAGGCCCGACGGAGGGTCAACATGCGGCGAGAAAAGGGCATCAAGAGAGACTCGGTCATCGACTCGATCCTGGACGGCGACAAACATAGCGACTTGGATGTCACCGACAAGCAACTCAACCACTTTTTGGGAGTCATTGTCGAGGGAGGAGCCGACACGACAGCGTCGGCGACCCTGACCTCGCTAATGTATCTGGCCCTTTACCCGGAGTTCCAGGAGAAAGCCCGCAAACAGCTGGACGCCGTATGCGGAACGACCAGGTAAAGTGAAGTACAAAAAGAGTGCATGGGCAGCTTCTAACCGTGCCAACACAGACTTCCGTCGATCAATGATTTTGAAGCTATCCCTTACATCAATTGCCTGATCAAAGAAGCGTTGAGGATACATCCCGTGTAAGTGAGCCCCATCTGTTATACAATATTCACCATCTAATAGTAGCCCCTACAGTCTTCCACTCGGCGTACCACACCGGGTGAACCAAGACGACTGGTTCGAGGGGATGCTGATCCCGAAAGATTCCACCGTCATCCTCCCCACGTGGGCATTACACTTGAGTGAGCGTCAGGGTTACAAAGACCCGGAAAAGTACAACCCCGACAGATTCCTAGAATATCCTCGCATGGCAGACAGCTACGCGGGGAGCCCGGACTGGCAGCGCCGTGATCACTACGCTTACGGAGCCGGTCGACGCATCTGTCCAGGCATCCACCTGGCCGAGCGGACGCAGTGGCGCCTGAACGCGAGGCTTCTATGGGCCTTTGAGATCCATCGCAAGATATATCCGCACACGGGGAAGCCCATGCCCATCGACGTCAACAATTACCACGAGGGCATCTCTCACACGCCCGCCGAATTTCCCGTCGTGTTCAAACCGAGAAGTCAGGCGCATATTGATCTGATCAGACAGGAAATGGCCCGTGCCGCGAACTTCTTGAAAGCATGGGATGATTGAGAAATTGAGCTGTTACTGCTCAGGGAAGCATAGGTCCTTCAGTAGCTCGAGGGAGGGAAGTGGAGCTTATGTTTTCGTTGGCAACGTGGTATGATAGGGCCAGAATGAAGGTCCAGAGAAGATAGCATTGTAGAGATATATCTACTCAGCCAGATTACTTTTTACCCTTCACTCTAGCCTCAGGCCTGCTGGGAAATGAGATTGCTAAAAGCTGACCAAACTACATGAGCTTTTGATGCACCTCGTCAAAGTCTACGTAGGCAAGGAGTCGTCTATCAGATATTGTAGAACTCATTCTACCGCTACGGCCCCCCGAAAAGAGGCAGACAGGAACCACCCCCCCCCCCCCCCCCCCCCACCCCCCCCAACCGGGGGGA